CAGAACAGTCAAACACAACTCTTATCTTCTCTGGCTTTCTCGGGTGATACACCCCGTGGTGAGGTATATACCACTTGTTACCATCTTCAGATGTGTTGCTTGCTTCTTCTGCATCACCATCTTTAAACACACCATCCATGAATCTCACATAATCCTCTTTGTACTTTGGATTCTTTTCCATTTTTGATTTCAAATGTTTTAGGCGTATTACTGCGAGCTGCTTGTTATTTGGAAGCTGTGGACGTTCTTTGAAAGGTAAGGGCATCTCCAAATGACCTTCTTCATTGAAGTGAACGTTTTCATTCAGAAGCTGTAAGAACTGAATGTCCTCTTGTGAGATGTTTCCTTCGTTGGAGTTTGTGTCTTTGAAATCTGTTTCCAACGCTTTGATGATAGCAGAGGGTGTGATAGATGGTAGCTCTTTAACTGTGATACGATGGCGTGCTCCAGCAACATCATTCGAATATGTCCAAGGCTTAGCGGAACCCACTATACTCCAGCCTAAGTCTGTCTTCACTGCATAGGGGTCATAGTCTTTGCCTGAAATTACTTTTTGCGGTTTTAGAGCTCTTGCACAATCATAGCCTATCAAAAGTGCTGCAGGACAATCTAACAGCTGTGGCATTTCCTTTTTGATGCAACGCAGGTGAGACCACATCTTTGCTGTTTCACAAGTAGGAATACTGTCTTGTTCATGTGGAATGTATTCACGAGTATATGTTGGTGGTAACTGAATATACTCTCTAGAATTGTACCCTCTTACTCTCAACCCTTTAGCTCTATGACTTGGTACGATTGAACTTCTCTCTGTTATGGTAGTCAGTTTCAACTTCACTGGTTCTGTGACTGCTTGGATTTTATCACAAATATCTTGGACAATGAAAGTATTGCTGCTCTGTGTGTCTAACAGTGCATACACTAACGTTTCTTGTTCATTACCTTCAGTACAAGACAGCCAAACTGGTACAATCATGGAGGTTCGATCATTTTTGTCTACCCTCACATTGTTTGACACAGCAGAAGCGTTTTCTTCTGGTGGAGGTCTTTCCGATTTTTCTGCTTGAGTATCTTCATGCAGTGGAGTGGGATGGTTTTTCCTGCAAATATTACAAGTTGCTCTTTGACGACAGTTCTTAGATATGTGTCCAACTCTCAGACAGCCAAAACACATGTTATTGTCCATGACAAACTGTTTCTTTTCTTCAAGTTGCATTGAAGTGAATTTTTCACACTTATAGATGAAGTGGTTTTGCTTACAACAAATACACTCAATCTGTCTTTTGCTGTTAACCATGGAGGAGCTACTTTTAGAACTTTTGTTGCTCTGTGACTTCTTCGACTCCTTGGTCGTGGCTAGGACACTGACTTTGACACGTCTGTGCTCCTTATCTGGCTTTTCAAAAGATTTCAAAGCAAACAGTGATGATACTGGGTTGCATGCTATGCGAGCCTCTTCAGCCACAAACTCAGCAAACTCAGCAAATCCTGGATATTCCTTTCCTTGATCCAGCATTTTGGTCACATGTCTGTTCCATCGAGATGTTGTCCAGTCAGGAAGTTTCATGAGTACTTTCTGATTTTCTTCACAATCGTCTAATACCCTAAGACCTTGTACATGGGGCATAGCATTTTTACAGGAAGTAAGGAAATCACTAAACTCTCTTAACCTGAGTGACTCTTTAGACCCTATCTTTGGCCAACTGCTTAGTTTTCCTCTGAAAGCTCTCTGGACAACAAAAGGATGACCGTAACGTTTAAACAAAGCTTCCCAAGCCTGAGAGTAGGCTTCTGCGTCACTACGATAGAATGTTCCCTCTAAGACACTAAGCGCTTCTCCACCTATGTATTTCTTCAAATAGAACAATCTATGGGCTGAATCCGCACAACTAGTCTCAATAAGAGCCTTAAAACATGTACTCCACTCAATAAACTTCAAAGGATCTCCGGTGAACACAAAAGGCTCTGGAGAAGGAAGTCTAGACATTGTCAAAGATTCTTTTAATGCTTCAACTAGAGACACTTCACTATTCTTGGCTATTACCTTACTGTGACTAGTTGGTGTGAATGAGGCGTTCTTATTTGCTGCAGAAAAGGTTTGTGGCGTGGACTTCTGAAGAACCTGAGGATTCGGGCTAATGTACTGCTGTCTCTGGGGCTGACTAAGCAATGAGAGATCTGCTACACTGTCTTTTATTTCAGCTTTTAGTTTACATTCCTCTTCAGTATAAACATTGTATTCTGCCTCTAATACCTCAAGATCTCTTTGATTTTCCAACATTTTAAGCCTTTCCTGTTGAGCCAAAATCTCTTGTCTTTGGACAGAAATATCCATTTCTCTATTCACTTCTGCTTTTTTAGAGGCTAAACGTGCAGCAGCATCTGCCCTTTTTGCAGATACGTGACTCCCTGATTCACTTAAACTGCACTGACGTCGACTAGATCTCGACACTGTAGATCCATACACTGATTTGGCATCTTCTCTTTGTAATAACTTGTGAAGTGATTCCTTCACAGCTACACTATCAAACTCTTGGTCAACATTTGCACAACGCTCTTTCATCAGCACAAGAATCTCAGCACAGACTGATGTAGAACTATCTATTTTCCTTCTTATGTCTTGAGAGGGAGATTCAATAGCACGAATGGCATCATAAAGCTGTTTTAAATCTGAATCAATTTTTTCAATAGATTGAATCATGTGATCTATCTCTTCTCCTGTGCATTTTACTTTAAGTTTTGATCGTATGAGCTGAATCTCTGCCTTAAACTGCACATAAGTTGACATAAACTTTCTCTCCTTGTTTATCAACTCATTTCTTTTTAGGTCACGCATTTTTACAGTCAAACGTCTTTCTCTTTCCGACCGTCTAACGTCTGTTTCAACAATAGCTAGTGGTTCAAGAGTAGTTGTTTTTTGTATTTCAAGATCTGCACCTCTCTCTCTCTCTGATTCTTCAAGTTCAGTCTGTAAAACGGTCTCTGATTGCTCTTCCTCAGCTTGTAAAGCTTGAATAGTGTCCTCAATATCACATTTCCTAGTAGCCATTTTTCAGAGTAATATTAGCAATATTCACTGTTACTTATATGTATATATTTAGCAATGACAGGTAACTAATCTTCGTAACCCACTATTTCAAAAACTAAAAAATAATACACTGTTACAGAGGATTCTTATAATACATTATAGATTATGATATTGCATAAAACAAATAACACAAATTATGTTCTCTTCTTATTCCTTTTTTTTTTTTTTTTTTTTAAACTCCGATGATACAGTCTGACCTGATTTCCAATGTGTTTTACACTTTACGCTGTGATGAGGCGATTCTTGAGCAGTCCATTTCCAACTGTGGTGAAGTTAACGTCCTCCGAAGACCCAGCTGATGCAGAAACGTAGACGCGGAGGCTGGCTGATGACAGCGGTCCTTCGATGCATGGCTGGCTGATGACACACTGCACCCTTGTGGCCTCTCAGCGTCAGCTACAAACGACGTCACCTTCTCTGGCGATGAGCGCACGTGACTCCGACAGCGCACGTGTATCTTTGTCTATCTTCTTTACAGCAGCGATAAGCAACGTTTTTCACTATAACGGCTCCAGAAATTATTGCTTGGATAAAAGGCCGACGCTCTGACTGATGTTTAGTTGACATTTATTTACAACAAAGCCACCTAAAGCACCGTGAAAAACTACGGTGCATAAAAAACATATTGTTAGCAAAATACACACATATTCAACAAACTTACAATAAAACAATATACAATTACCGTGTGCGCCTTCTATCTAGACACTCTGGAGTTGTCAGTACTTTTCGCTGTCCATATCCTTACTTTCGGTTCAGCACAAGGTTACCTTGTCCATCCTTTTCGCCATTCTCTCGCTCTGTCTCTCACGTAATGGCTCCAATGCGCGCATGCGCATATTGCACAGGTAATACAAGTTCACAACTCCACCACAAGAGGTCAGAAGCGACACACAATAAATACACTATTATAAACAGATTATATACAGAATAAAGATACATGTAAACAAAAATGTTCACGGACAGCTACAATAATGGATTGTTCATTTAATATTCAGGACATGGGTTTTCTCTTTGAAAGAAGTTTGTTTTTGTCTGTGAGCCTGTTGAAAAATTTTTTCAGAGGAAATTGCTGACAGAACAGAAGCATACTGTAAATAAAATAGTCCACTGTGTTCAGGCTTGGTTCAATAGATTATATGCAATCATTTTAATGTTTTACAAACATTGAACCAGTCCGGCCGTCGACTTATGTATTTGACATTTTAACTCCCCTGTTAGTAATAATAATAATAATCCAATACAATATCAATAAATACATACAATAAAATTATATAGAGAGAAAAATAGTAAAACAGAACAGTTTAAACCCACCTTGGGCACAGATCCTGGACAGAAATGAGTTTAACCCTCTATAGACAAGCTGTAGCTGTAGATTTATTTGTTTGGAACATAGAGGGAAGAGTGTGAGAGGAGGAGGACTGCGGCTAACGACCGACAATAAGAAATTTGTCTCAACGCGGACGCCATTTTGTGTTGCCCAACGGCGGACGGTGATGAACAGAAGCACTTTATACAGACAGAGTCCAGCTCAAACCTGCTGAGTCATGGTCCACACAGAGATACTGCACTGATCCTGGACCAGATTGAGATTCTCTCTCTCTGGGTCTCTCTCTCTGGTCTCTGTCTCTCTCTCTGGTCTCTCTATCGGGTCTCTCTCGCTGGTCTCCCTCTGTTGGCAGCATAGAGAGCTACAGGCAGAAAGAATTTTTCCCCTTCATGCTTATTTCATATATATATTTCTCCTGACCCTATTTTACATTCTATAACATGAAATGACAAATTAGATAGTTATTATTATTATTATTATTTTTTTTTTATTATGAATAATATAATAATAATTATAATATACTAATAATAATAATAATGGAAAAAGAGATTCATGATATGTGTCCTTTAAGTTCTGGTGTCTCCACAGATCCGATTCAGCCCAAACTTCTCATCTCACACATGGATCGCCTCCGGTGGTCAGAGCGGGCTGGTGCGGCTGCTCTGTGTACGCTGTGCAAACTTCAAACACACCAGCAAGTACCAGCCTCTGGGGGAGCCAGAGAGCCTAGAGTCTGACCCAGAAGACGGCTCCTTTCCCGTGGAGACAGACCAGAGACCTGCCCCACAGACCAGAGACCTGCCCCAGAGAGGAGCTCCGATCCCGGGGAGACAGACCAGAGACCTGCCCCAGAGAGGAGCTCCGATCCCGGGGAAAAAAATCCAGTATTGATATAAGGCAGAAGTAAATAATCATAATATCTTGCTATTTTTCTTTTAATTAGTGGTCAGGGTCAGAGTCAGGGTCAGAATGGAAGGAAGCATTTAGGTTTTCTGTCCACTCCACACCGTTACTCTGAACAATTGAGCTTAAGTTTTTGAATACTTTCCATTTGCGTCTCAGGGTTTTTTCATCCTATTTCTGATAAACCAGTAGTCTTATTCCAAGCGCAGTGGCTTCAACTCCATATTTTGAATACGTTTGTTCCAAAAACACATAATATTTCTGTCCTATTCAGAAAAATGCTAAAATCTTGGTGTTTTTTTTCCTCATATTAACTTAACATCTCTAGCGTCTGTTAGCTTACAGTACAACAAAATGCTGAGATTATACCGAGTCCTGGAGCTAGCTCTGACACTGTTAGCGTTAGCATCACTACTTCCTGTTTCAATATTCCCTCTGTTTTTAAACTTTAAAAAAAAGTGGATTGTAGCTGGTTACTGTTTACACTTCACAGGGGATACACTTCTGAGTTCATGAACGCAGGTGTTGGTGTCTTGAAGCTAATGTTGTTGCTAATGATCATATTTAATTTTAGAACAATGGGGTGTCTTCACTTAAATTTTAATGTTTTAATGTTCTTAAAACAGGAAGTAATGGACTAAAGCAGGGCCTGAAGCAGGGACTGAAGCAGGGTCTAAAGCTGAGACTGATCTGGAATAATCCGTTCTGCCTCTGGTCGAAACTTGAACATTTGTATTTTGTTTTGAAAGCAGCTTTAAGTTATTTCCTCTCAACTTGAATGTTTTGAGAAACAAGGAGAAGTGTAGAGTTTATTCTTCTGATCTGTCGTTGCTGGTTTTTTTTTGTTTTTTTACCTGTAAATTGTAAATACGTTGTTTGTATTAATAATTAATTGTTAATAAATATTTTGTACAAAGAGGTTCAAAGTGCAGCTTTATTGACACGGACACAGGACGACGTTAGAATCACGTGTTTCACAGATTTCAGACACAGAAGCAGCATTCTCCACAGACAGGAAAGGCCTGGACCCGAGTCGTGTTGTTTAGACCCGTGTCAACACAAGGCTTCTAAAGTCACATGGGTTTGCCTAAAAACAGGATTCACCAAGACCCAGGCCTGACAAGGACCCAGACCGGGAGCAAGACCCACACCAGGACTCTGACCAAGACCAGGTGCTGTAGGCTGAATCGTGGGTTACTGTGGGACACATGTGACTTTAAATTTGAGACTTTGGGTCCAGGTCTTTGAAACAATAACATCGATACATTCATGTTTCTCCATAATCCATGAATCTGTAACAGAAGGTTTTATGAAAATAGATTTTTTTTTTTTCCTCCGGCAGTTTGTACAACAGCGAACACCCATGCAACACCGGTGACATCATCGAGGGGCGTGTCCTCTGGATCTTTACAAGTCACATGACACAAGGGTTTAGTGTCTCGTCCAGTCCGGGTTTAGTCTTTCTGCTCTCTCTCTGGGGTCTCTCTGGGGTCTCTCTGGGGTCTCTCTCTGGACTTTCTCTGGACTTTCTCTGGTCTCTCTTCCTGGTCTCTTTAGTCAAGGTTTAGTCATTCATTATATCCTCTGAACATTGTAAATTTGATATTGATCTAAAAAGAGGCGAGCCCCCACTTCTGTATCAGTCCCTCCGCATGCCTCTGAGCTCGGCCCCTTCATCAGGGGTCCGCTCAGACCACAGAACTATTACTCAATCAGCAGATTTTTTAGCACTATTGATGAAGTAGAACACAGACTGAAGCTGAGGACAGGACATTTTGGCACTGATGAAGTATAAAGTAGCAGAACATCGCACAGAGCACACTGGAAAGAGTATGGCCTCACTGCAAATCTACCAAGACACGGCCGTCCACCTAAACTACAAGGAGAGCCCTGATCCGAGAGACTCGACTGTTTTAGATCAATATGAGATGGAGGACTGTGCCACAGGGGGCGCTGCGGAGCAGAGTCTCAGAGACGTATGGATTGCGGCAGTTTGGACTTTGGTCGTTGACGGGGCAGTGGAGGGACTCACAGGACTCTGGTCTCTGTCCATTTGGCTTGATGTTTGGTTGATCCTGGTTCAGAACCTGTCCTAGTTTGGTCTCGTCTCTGGTGTCTCTGGTCTCAGTCTCTCTCTCTGGTCTCTCTCTCTAGTTTTTTTGGTCCTTGGTCTTTCTCTCAGACCAGAGACCAGAAAAAGAAACCAGGGAGACTACTTTGGTCCCTGATTTCCTTCTTGGTCTCTGGTCTATCTGGTCTCTCTGGGGTCTGGTCTCTGGTCTCTCTGGTCTGGTCTAGTCCAGTGGGTCCTGACAGTCCGTGCACTGTTGCATGTCGCTGGTGAACTTCTCCACTTGAACAGTGGAGCTGCTGAAGCCGAACTTGTCGTGGAGCAGATCTGTGGCCTCCACCAAGACTGAATCCGAGTCTGCACCTGGGTCTGAGAGAAGGACTAGGGTCAGACCGGGTCTGATGGTAAGACTAAATCAGGACTAAAGCAGGTCTAAAACAGGACTAAAGCAGGTCTAAAACAGGACTGAAGGAGGTCTAAAGCAGGTCTAAAGCAGGTCTTAAAGCAGGTCTTAAAGCAGGTCTAAAGCAGGACTAAAACAGGTCTAAAGCAGGACTCACCGATGGCCAGATGGACTGACACCAGACTGTGTCCTGCGCTCAGACTCCACAGGTTCAGACTGTGGACAGACTTCACCGCAGTCACCGATAGAAGAACCTCCTTCACTGATCGGAACTGGATCTCTTTGGGACAACCTGGCAACACACCGGCAGCAGTTGGAGTGGCTTTAGCATTAGCATTACCATTAGCATTAGCATTAGCATTAGCGGTACCTTCCATGAGGATCCGGATCACGTCTCTGAGGATGGTGATGGTGGTGCACAGGACGAAGGCTGAGAACAGGAAGGTGCAGATGGGATCCGCCACTTTGTACTCGGGCTGAAAACATGAAAGCAGTCAGGTCTGTGGAGAGGCGAGGCAGCCCGGGAATGTACAATAACTGGAGAGAGAACTGAGAGAGACCTGAGAGAGACTCTTACATTGGGGGTGGTGTCTCTTACATTGGGGGTGGCCTCTCTTACATTGGGGGTGGTCTTTCTCACATTGGGGGTGGTCTCTCTCCCATTGGGGGTGGTCTTTCTCACATTGGGGGTGGTCTCTCTCCCATTGGGGGTGGTCTTACCCTGAGGTAGATGATTAGAGCTGCCACGAGCACACCCACGCTCTGCAGCAGATCTCCTAACACGTGGATGAAGGCGGCCCGTACGCTCGTGTTGCCGTGCGGCGACAGCAGAGAGTGGGCGTGACCTGTGTGAGAGTGGGCGTGGCCCGTGTGCGATGGGGCGTGGCCTGTGTGGGTGGGGGCGTGGCCTGTGTGGGAGGGGGCGGGGCTCTGGCTGTCCTCCTCAATCTGGTGATAACCGGAACCATGAGCGTGGAACGAGGTCGAGTGGTGTAGGATGTAAGCCATTCTACAGATACACACAGATACACACACAGAGACCCACACAGATGCACACAAAGACACACACAGATACCCACACAGGTTAGACACTCAGAAACACTCAGTGACACACACATACACACAAAGACAAATAAATACACACACAGAGACATATACATACACACACACACATACACAGGTTAGACAGACACACACACAGGTTAGACACACACACACACACACAGGTTAGACACACACACACACACAAATAGACACTCACATTATGTTGACCATCACGGCGCAGAGTGATGTCACTAACATGACGTTGCCGTTGATGTGGTAGTCGTTTTGAACAATTCTCTCGACAGCGAGATACAGCAGCGCAGCACGGTCACCGCCCAAATGGACACGACCGAGAGGAGGGCTCCCAGCACCTCTGCGGAGCACAGAGCAGCTCTGTGAGGCAGCTCTATGAGGCAGCTTTATGAGGCAGCTCTATGGGGCAGCTCTGTGAGGCAGCTCAATGAGGCAGCTTTATGAGGCAGCTCTATGGGGCAGCTCTGTGAGGCAGCTCAATGAGGCAGCTTTATGAGGCAGCTCTATGGGGCAGCTCTGTAAGGCAGCTCTATGGGGAAGCTCTGTGAGGCAGCTCTATGGGGTAGCTCTGTGAGGCAGCTCTATGAGGCAGCTTGATGAGGCAGCTCTATAGTAAGTAAGTAAGTAAGTAAGTATTTATTTATATACCGCCTTTTCACTGCAGATCTGAGTCTCAAAGCGGTTTACAATTGTTAATTATGGGCATTTGTCTCTCACTCCACACAGAGATGGGAGCGGGGTCGCCAGTACAGGAGGCGCATGCTAGAACTATTGGACATATTTTTAGTGGTAGGGGAAACCGGAGTACCCGGAGGAAACCTACGCAGACACGGGGAGAACATGCAAACTCCACTCAGAAAGGCCCTGGTCCGACCGGGATTCGAACCCAGGACCTTCTTGCTGAGAGGCGAGAGTGCTATCCACTCAGCCACCGTGCCGAGTATAGGGCAGCTCTGTGAGGCAGCTCTATTGGGCAGCTCTGTGAGGCAGCTCTATGAGGCAGCTTTATGAGGAAGCTCTATGAGGCAGCTCTATGAGGCAGCTCTGTGAGGCAGCTCAATGAGGCAGCTCTGTGGGAATCTATACAGCTTTACTGGTCTCTGGTCTGGGTCTGGGTCTGGTCTCAGGTCTGGTCTGGTCGGTATGGGTCTGGTCCGGTCTGGGTTTGGTCTCAGGTCTAGTCCTGGTCCTTTGGTCTGTATGGGTCTGGGTCTGGTATGTGCTCTGACCTGATCGGTGCCAGCCCCAGGTCAGGGTCTTGGAGGGAGGTCTGGAGGAGAGCCACAGAGAGAACAGAGACACCATCATACTCCCCAGGTCTGTGAGGAGGTGGGCCGCATCTGTCATGATGGCCAAGCTGTGGGCCAGGTAACCTCCTGCAGCAGAGAGAGGAGGAGGAGGAGGAGAGGGGGAAGAGGAGGAGAGAGGGGAAGAAGAGAGAGAGAGGAGAGGAGGAGAGGGGGAGAGAGGAGGAGAGGGGGAGAAGAGAGGGGAGGAGAGAGAGGGGAGAGGGAGAGGGGAGAGAGAGGGGAGAAGAGAGAGAGAGGAGGAGGAGGAGAGAGGGGGAGAGAGGAGAGAGGGGGGAAGAGAGAGAGGAGGAGGAGGAGGAGAGAGAGGGGAGAAGAGGAGGAGAGAGGGGGAAGAAGAGAGAGAGGAGGAGGAGGAGAGAGGGGGAGAGAGAGGAGGAGAGGGGGGGAAGAGGAGAGAGAGGAGGAGGAGGAAAGAGAGGGAGAAGAGGAGGAGAGAGGGGGAAGAAGAGAGAGAGGAGGAAGGAGGAGAGAGGGGGGAGAAGAGGAGGAGAGAGGGGGAAGAAGAGAGAGAGAGAGGAGGAGGAAAGAGAGGGAGAAGAGGAGGAGAGAGGGGGAAGAAGAGAGAGAGGAGGAAGGAGGAGAGAGGGGGAGAAGAGGAGGAGGAGGGGGGGGAGAGGAGAGAGAGGAGGAGGAGGAAAGAGAGGGAGAAGAGGAGGAGGAGAGGGGGAAGAAGAGAGAGAGGAGGAAGGAGGAGAGAGGGGGGAGAAGAGGAGGAGAGAGGGGGAAGAAGAGAGAGAGGAGGAAGGAGGAGAGAGGGGGAGAAGAGGAGGAGAGAGGGGGAAGAAGAGAGAGAGGAGGAGGAGGAGAGAGGGGGAGAGAGAGGAGGAGAGGGGGGGAAGAGGAGAGAGAGGAGGAGGAGGAAAAGAGAGGGGAAGAGGAGGAGGAGAGAGGGGGAAGAAGAGAGAGAGGAGGAAGGAGGAGAGAGGGGGAGAAAAGGAGGAGAGAGGGGGAAGAAGAGAGAGAGGAGGAGGAGGAAAGAGAGGGAGAGAGAGGAGGAGAGAGGGGGAAGAAGAGAGAGAGGAGGAAGGAGGAGAGAGGGGGAGAAGAGGAGGAGGAGAGGGGGGGAAGAGGAGAGAGAGGAGGAGGAGGAAAGAGAGGGAGAAGAGGAGGAGGAGAGGGGGGGAAGAGGAGAGAGAGGAGGAGGAGGAGGAGATGGGGGAAAGAGGAAGAGGAGAGAGAGGAGGAGGAGGAGGAGGAGGAGGAGGAAAGACAGGGGAAGAGGAGGAGCAGTAGGACAGAGGGGGGGAGGAGAGGGACGTAGGAGAGAGAGGAAAGAGAGGAGGAGGAGAGAGTGATACATGAGTGAAAAACAGATCTCTCACGCTGAGACAACGTCAGCAGATGCATTTAAGAGCACAGGGAAAAGCTTTATATTATAAATGTGTGTGTGTGTGTGTGTGTGTGTGTGTGTGTGTGTGTGTGTGTCTGACCTATGACCTCTCCGATCATGAACACCAGGCACACAGCAGATGCGATCATCAGTTTGTTTCTGGCCTGGATCTTGTCGGCGGCGTCTGCACTCCGCGGGACGTGTCTGTGACAGTGGGAGCGCACAGGACGCAGCTCCAGACCGTTAGAGAAGGAGAAGTCTGACACCTCCTGCTTGGAGTCCGGGAAGGAGCTGAAGAGAGGAGAGGGGAGGGGGCGAGGAGAGGACGAGGAGGGAGGAGGAGAGAGAGGAGAGGAGCAGGACAGAGAGGGGAAAGAGAGAGAGATAAGGGAGAGAGGAGGAGAGGAGGAGGAGAGAGAGGGGGAGAAGAGGAGAGAGAGAGAGAAGGGAGAGAGGAGGAGGGGAAAGAAAGAGAGAAGGGAGAGAGGAGGAGAGGAGGAGGAGAGAGAGGGGGAGAAGAGGAGAGAGAGAAGGGAGAGAGGAGGTAAGGAGGCGAGAGAGGAGAGAGAGGGGGGAGAGAGGAGGCGAGGAAAGAGAGAAGGAAGAATGGAGGAGAGAGAGAGAAGGGAGAGAAGAGGAGAGGAGGCGAGAGAGAGGAGGAGAGAGAGGGGGGAGAGACAAGGGAGAGAGGAAGTGAGGGGGCAGAGAGGAGGCGAGGAAAGAGAGAAGAGAGAAAGGAGGAAAGGAGAGAGAGGGAGGAGGAGAGAGATAGGGGGAGAGAGGAGGAAAGGAGAGAGAGAAGGGAGAAAGGAGGTGAGGGGGCAGAGAGGAGGAGGAGAGAAGAGGAGGGACCAGGAGAACCGTGGGAGAAAGTGAGTTTACTTCCACAGACCATGTTACTTTTCAAAAAGGAGGAAGGACCAAAAATACAGTTCTGCAAAAAATATTTAATAAATACAATCTACAAACGAAACTCAACTGAAGAAAAACACTGAATGGACTGAGACCAGATCAACAGCAGGACCTGCTTTAGTCCTGCTTTAGTCCTGGTTTAGTCCTGCTTTAGTCCTGCTTTAGACCTGCTTTAGACCTGCTTTAGACCTGCTTTAATCCTGCTTTAGACCTGCTTTAGTCCTGCTTTAGTCCTGGTTTAGTCCTGCTTTAGACCTGCTTTAGTCCTGCTTTAGTCGTGCTTTAGTCCTGCTTTAGTCCTGCTTTAGTCCTGCTTTAGACCTGCTTTAGTCCTGCTTTAGACCTGCTTTAGACCTGCTTTAGTCCTGCTTTAGTCCTGGTTTACCCCCTCGCCTCTCGTTGTTCAGGGCAGTGATGATGATGATGATGATGAGGGTAATGATCCGTGAGCCGCTCAGATAAAAGGTTTTATCACCGACACACAGACACCTCCCGAGGGACTAAACCTGGACTAAAGCGGGTCGAAAGCAGGTCTAAAACAGGTCTAAAGCAGGTCTAAAGCAGGTCTAAAGCAGGTCTAAAGCAGGTCTAAAGCAGGTCTAAAGCAGGACTAAAGCAGGTCTAAAGCAGGTCTAAAGCAGGACTAAAGCAGGTCTAAAGCAGGTCTAAAGCAGGTCTAAAGCAGGACTAAAGCAGGTCTGGTTCGGGTCCTGGGGCAGGTCTGGTCTTAGTCGTCTGTGAAATTGTCCTTTCGTTCTCAGGGAGCACAGTTTAATTACACGTGTCCAGAAAGAGAGAGGCTTTAATGGACGCAGCCTCAGGGACCGGTCTGAGTCCGAGTCCGGTCTCAAGTCTAAGTATCTGTGATGTATCTGTGATGATGGAGCAGGCTACAGTCCCCTGCTGTTCCAAAGAGATCATAATGAACACTTTCACATTAAGATCCAGAGCTCTCTCCCCATTGGTGATCACACTGTAGCTTTAATGTGATTCTCTCCAGAAGCAAAAACTAATGACACCGTTCAACTCAAGCATGACATCTATAGCAACAGTAGTAGTAGTAGTAGTAGTAGTAGTAGTAGTAGGAGTAGTAGTAGTAGGAGTAGTAGGAGTAGTAGTAGTAGGAGTAGTAGGAGTAGGAGTAGTAGTAGTAGCAGCAGTAGCAGTAGTAGTAGCAGTAGTAGGAGTAGCAGGAGTAGGAGTAGTAGGAGTAGGAGTAGTAGTAGTAGTAGCAGCAGTATCAGTAGTAGTAGCAGTAGTAGGAGTAGTAGTAGTAGTAGTAGTAGTAGTAGTAGTAGGAGTAGTAGTAGTAGTAGTAGCAGTAGCAGTAGTAGTAGTAGTAGTAGTAGTAGTAGTAGTAGTAGGAGTAGTAGGAGTAGTAGTAGTAGGAGTAGTAGGAGTAGGAGTAGTAGTAGTAGCAGCAGTAGCAGCAGTAGTAGCAGTAGTAGGAGTAGCAGGAGTAGGAGTAGTAGGAGTAGGAGTAGTAGTAGTAGTAGTAGCAGCAGTATCAGTAGTAGTAGCAGTAGTAGGAGTAGTAGTAGTAGTAGTAGTAGTAGGAGTAGGAGTAGTAGTAGTAGTAGCAGCAGTAGCAGTAGTAGTAGCAGTAGTAGGAGTAGTAGGAGTAGGAGTAGTAGTAGTAGTAGTAGTAGCAGCAGTAGTAGTATCAGTAGTAGTAGTAGTAGTAGTAGGAGTAGGAGTAGTAGTAGTAGTAGCAGCAGTAGCAGTAGTAGTAGCAGCAGTATATAGTAGCAGTAGTAGTAGCAGTAGTAGTAGTAGTAGTAGCAGTAGTAGTAGCAGTAGCAGCAGTAGTAGTAGTAGTAGCAGTAGCAGCAGTAGTAGTAGCAGTAGTAGTAGCAGTAGTAGCAGTAGAAGTAGCAGTAGTAGCAGTAGAAGTAGCAGTAGTAGCAGTAGTAGTAGCAGCAGTATATAGTAGCAGTAGTAGTAGCAGTAGTAGTAGTAGTAGTAGTAGTAGTAGTAGTAGCAGTAGTAGTAGCAGTAGTAGCAGTAGAAGTAGCAGTAGTAGCAGTAGTAGTAGCAGTAGTAGCAGTAGTAGCAGCAGTAGTAGCAATAGTAGCAGTAAGTAGCAGTAGTAGTAGCAGTGGAGTAGAATTAGCAGTAGCAGCAGTAGTAGTAGCAGTAGTAGTAGCAGTAGTAGCAGTAGAAGTAGCAGTAGTAGCAGTAGAAGTAGCAGTAGTAGCAGTAGTAGTAGCAGCAGTATATAGTAGCAGTAGTAGTAGCAGTAGTAGTAGTAGTAGTAGTAGTAGTAGTAGTAGCAGTAGTAGTAGCAGTAGTAGCAGTAGAAGTAGCAGTAGTAGCAGTAGTAGTAGCAGTAGTAGCAGTAGTAGCAGCAGTAGTAGCAATAGTAGCAGTAAGTAGCAGTAGTAGTAGCAGTGGAGTAGAATTAGTAGTAGTAGCAGTAGAAGTAGCAGTAGTAGTAGTAGTAGTAGCAGTAGAAGTAACTACTACTAGTGGGTTTCCCTAGTTCTCCTCCAAGGTTTCTCACTTTTTCCCACTGGGTTTTTTAAGAGTTGTTCCTTGTCGATGCAGGAGGGTCTTGTTGGACAGTTAGTGTCCAACAGAAAGGATTGGTGATGATCAGGACACTTTAGCATTCTACAACATGTATCAACATTTTCTTCTGTGTGTGCTTTATATTCTCCATGTGTTTTAACTGTTGATTCTCTGATCTGTGTTGGTGATTTCATTGGTTTTGTTAAGTCTCTGAGATGACTTCTGTTGTGACCTAGGGCTATACAAGAATAAATTGTATTGTATTGTGTGTAGGAGTAGTAGAAGTAGTAGTAGTAGAAGTAGCAGTAGAAGTAGAGTAAGAGTAATCACGGCTTTTAATCTGTTCTTATTTTTATGAAATGTCCTTTATTGTTTTCAAGGTGCTGCCCCTGTTTTGCATAAATTGCTAGTTACCATAGCAACACACAATATTTCTACTCTGCGAGTAAAGGTAAAAAAACCTTTACTGAGCACAGACTTTGTTTGAATGCAGCAGTCAGAATGACGGCTGTGTTAATGAGGCGTCAGCGCAGTGAAGCGCGGGAATCAGAGCAGCCGCGCGGTACAGAGCACTCAGACCGGGCCTGGACACCACCGGAATATTATTATAATATATTATTATTGTTAATATTATCATTCATAATATTATTAATATCATCATTCATAATATTATTAATATTATCATTCATAATATTATTAATAATCATCACTCATAATGTTATTAATATTATCATTCATAATAATATTATTATTATCATTATTAATAATATTAATAATAACAATAAATAAGATAAAAATTAATGAAATAACACAAATATAAATAATAATATTAATAATACAAGCTACAAACTCATTCATATTTAAACTATAATTTTCAACACAAACACTTAACGAAATGATGTGGTTTTAATAAATATAAAATAATATAAAGTAATAAACTATAATCACCGTTTAATTAATTGTGTTCTAAACCTGAAACTGGGGAAACATGCATGAGCACGTAAAAACTGTTCAAACTCTAAACTTAGAAGCATGGCTAACCATCAAACCTGAGAGACACCAGAGAGAGACCAGAGAGACTAGAGAGACCTGAAAGAGAGACACCAGAGAGACACCAGAGAGACCGGAGACCCGAGAGAGAGACGCTCTCAGACCCGTTGTAAGTGTATCTCGCACCTCTGTAGTTTTAACGAGTACATCTTGGCGGTTTTCTCGTGGATCAAGTGCGACTTCTCGGTCCCGCTGTTGTTTTCCATCGTAAAAATCCCAAATTCGAGGCAAGAAAAGTTGTCACATCGCGGGGTGTCGCGTGGATGTGTCCCGGGGGAGAGAGGTCGGGTCTGGGGGAGGAGGAGGTGGAAGAGGTGGAGGTGTTTCCCGGGGAGTATGGAGGAAAGTGCCCGCTGAGGAGGAGCTCTGCGGCGGACTGGGACAGAAGGTAAGAGACGGAGGAGAGACCGGGGGGAGGAGGCGGAGCTGCAGCTGGAGGACCGCTCTGACATGACCCTCCGCTGCTGCTGTAAAATATACCGCGAAAGAAATTGTGAAGTAAAGCAAATGAGTGAAGACAAAACAGGTTTATTTATATAGCACAGTTATACACAAGGAGGTGCTCAACAAAATGAATGAATGAATGAATAAATGTTCACGGTGCACTAAAAGAGTGAAGAAATACGGACTCTAAACCTTTTCATACAGCTGCGAGGCTTGCATTCGTCACCCTATAAAAATACTTCGTTACCAACACTTGTAGTTACAATAGATATTATTAGTCCTATAGATCCATATAACATAAGTGCTTTTGTTCCGTTTTTATTTGGCTTCAAACAGGTCAGGGTTCTCTCTGGCCTCTCTTTCTGTTCTCTTTCTGGTCTCATATGGTCTCTCTTTGGTCTCTCTCTCTCTGGTCTCTGTCTGGTATCTCTCTCTGGTCTCTGTCTGGTCTCTCTCGCTGGACTTTCTCTGGTCTCTTTCTGGTCTCTCTCTTTCTGGTCTCTTTCTGGTCTCTCTCTGGTATCCCTCTCTGGTCTCTGTCTGGTATCTCTCTCTGGTCTCTGTCTGGTCTCTCTCGCTGGACTTTCTCTGGTCTCTTTATGGTCTCTCTCTTTCTGGTCTCTCTCTGGTCTTTTTCTGGTCTCTCAGGTCTCTCTCTGGTCTCTATCTCTGGTCTCCCTCTGCTCTCTCTCTGCTCTCTCTCTGCTCCCTCTGCTCTGCTCTCATGGCCTCTCTCTCTTCTGTCAGATCCGGGCCTTGTCGCAGCTCTCAGCGTGCAGCTCCAGCTCTGCCGTCTCTCCTCAGCCACTGCAGAGGAACGGAACCACTGGTGCTTTTGCTGTAGTTTATGACACAGAAGCTTCAACTTTAAATACGAGGTCACGTACTTTATATATTGCTATTATTAACACATTAAACATTAAAATTAACTGTCAACGAGAAAGACCAGAGGGAGAAACCAAATACAGACCAGAGAGGGACCAGAAAGAGAGAGACCAGCGATTCATATTATTACAGCTATAGCGCGTAAACATTAAAAAACATTCAAATGAACTGTTACTTAACTTTAACATTTATTTTACACTGAAAAGCGTCCTTTCTCATTCGCTCGTGCGTCTAAAGGCCCGGGTCTGTGTTCATTAAACCAGGCTGAACCCGGGTCCGCCTGGGTAAATGTGCTTTCAGAACATTCATGTGTCGCAGGTGTTCCTCACGCGGAGACAGGAGCCGTGAATGAGCAGCACATTTCACGGCTGAGCGGCCCGAGCAGAGGCTGCGGGGCGGGGGCGGGGGGCGCGGGGGGGGGGGGGGGGTGTAGAAATATTACAAGGGGAATATGTGAAAGAGATAAAAGCAGAGGGAACCGGGATAGTGTTTGAATTGTTGCAAGTTCGAGAAGGTGTGGATTTTGTGGCCTTGCAGAGAAGGCCTCATGCGGATAATGAGATACATATGAGAGCAGGTCTAAAGTTGGTCTGACCCGGACTAAAGCTGACCCAGGGCTTTAGATCACTGTCCATTGATGTGAATAAATGTCCCGGATTGTCACTGTCCCCCTCCAGTATCAGAGAGAAACCACTCAAAAAAATAATAATAAAAGAAGATAAAGAGATATTTTCTTCTGGTCTCTCTCTGGTCTCATGGTCTCTGTCTCGGTCTATTCTCTCTCTGGTGTCTCTCTGGTGTCTCTCTGGTCTCTCTCTGGTGTCTCTCTGGTGTCTCTCTGGTGTCTCTCTGGTGTCTCTCTGGTGTCTCTCTGGTGTCTCTCTTCGTGGGTTCAAACGGTTCAAACATAACAACTCTACTTTGGGTAGTTCTCATGGAGCTTCTTTATTCAAGTGCTGGATCAACTCAACATTCTGCCCCCTAGTGGCTACTTGTTATAACAGTATAACAAAAACACGTTTACACCACACTCGGTCAGTGTGACACAAACAGTTACTGAGCTGGATGAGTTTACTTTTACATGTAAGTCAATAGGAGCCAGAGAGAGTTGGAGCCAAACTTCGTCCATGAGCACTTCTCTATTGGGCTTAATTGAGATAGCTGGTTAGCATTGTCCAATTTGTAAACAATGCAGTCAATGCGGTATTGCGTCTGTGCTTTACGATTTGATTCTGCACAAAGTAGTTGGACTTGACCTGAAATGATCTGTGCGTTTGCGTGCAGTGCATGGATGACGTATGGTCTCAGCGGTTTCTCTCTGGTCTCTCTCTGGACTCTTTCTGGCCTCTTCCTCTGGTGTATATCTGGTCTCTCTTTCTGGCCTCTTCCTCTGGTGTCTCTCTGGTGTCTCTCTGGTCTCTCTCTCTGGGCTCCTCCTCTGGTGTCTCTCTGGTCTCTCTCTCTGGCCTCCTCCTCTGGTGTCTCTCTGGTCTCTCTCTCTGGGCTCTTCCTCTGGTGTCTCTCTGGTCTCTCTCTCTGGCCTCCTCCTCTGGTGTCTCTCTGGTCTCTCTCTGGTCTCTCTTTCTGGCCTCTTCCTCTGGTGTCTCTCTGGTGTCTCTCTGGTCTCTCTCTCTGGCCTCCTCCTCTGGTGTCTCTCTGGTCTTTCTCTCTGGCCTCCTCCTCTGGTGTATCTCTGGTGTCTCTCTGATCTCTCTCTACTCTCTTTCTGGTCTCTCTCTGGTCTCTCTCTCTGGTCCGAGTCGCGTGTATGTCGCCCCTTATCTGGCATCCTGGTGTTTATGTTTCGCGCCTCGTCTGATCATGGAGCTAGAGGAGCCGAGTGTGAGCATCCGAACCCCGGGGGAGAACCCTCCAGAGCACCCCGCAGAAGATTCCCCCGAGGCGGACAGACGTGGCTTCCGCTCCGATAGGTACTGGACCGTGCTAAGGGACAGTGGCACTGGGGTGAAGCCGAGCAGAGAGCGCTGAGGGCGGGTGGACAGTGAAGCTAACGCCGCTAGCATCTGGAGCTAGCATAAAGCTGCAGGAAAAGCAGTTTTAAAAGTGAAAGGTTGCGTTTATTATAGGCTTAAGCGAATACTCAGGGCTGGAGACAGAATTATAACAATGATTAATGTCTGTAGATTTAAGATTATGTCTCAGATTGACTGTGTTCTGTCTATGTTGTGCCTATGTTGGTGTCCGTAATAAAAGCTTCATTCATTCATTCATTCTTACACATCTTTCTGCAGCATATGTTTAACTGGGACAACAGCAAGGCACTGACTGTAGATTCAGCTACGTAACTAAATACGCTAAAATATGACAATACCAGACTTTAAACCATTTAGATTTCTGTTTAAAGGAGCAGTATGTAAAAATCTGGCCAAAAGTGGTACTGCAACCTTTATCACTCTCCCTGACTCGGGTTGCCAGATATGCAGACGAATCCAGCTGGGACCAAAATATCTGCATACTAGACAAGAGTTCTGTCAACAACAAATCTCTAACCAACACCTTTTTCATATAGACCCCGATAGAAATCCTCATTTTATTCCTTGGTTTGTTGTTAATGTTTTGATAATCATAACAAGACCTTTTTAGTTCTACGGTCACTGAACTTTACCAGTGAGATTAGCTAGCCGCAGGGAGTACTGGCAACCCAGATCACAGACCTGATTGGTGAAGTGGTGGAGGGCGGGACATCAAAATGAAAACAATAACGAGATTTAGCGGCTGTAAAACTAATGTTGAAATTCAAATATCCCTGAACTACTGTTATCAGTTAAAGTAGTATTAGAAAAGATCATGGTTTGTTAATGCCGTTTGATAAATTAGGGCCATTTAATGATGACTTGACATGAAAATCTTACATATTGCTACTTTAAACTATTTATGTCACTGTTCTATATTCTGTTAGCCACACCACCTACATTTGAAAAGAAAATCAGTGTTGTCCACATACAGGCCGCACTGAAATATAAGCCACAGGTTGTAATGTAGCAGAGAGACAACTGTTTTAACTGGACACAACATTATTTAATGACAAGGTTTTTAACAGATTCACTGTTAGCTTCCATCACTCATTCACCAGTTTATTTTGACAATTAACAACCGTTCTATAGCAATAAAAAACACACATTAGCCACATTGCTATATAAGCCGCAGGGATCAAAGAACAAGAAAACAGTTGCGGTTTACAATCCAGGAATTACAGTAGTTAAAAATTACATTATAATACTCAGCCTTTGACTTGATTTTAGCATGGATGGAGATAAAAATCATGTTAAAGATAATCTATTAGTTTACAAGTTGGAGCCACATGATGAAGCCTTACTCATGTGACCCGGACCCTGCTCTGAGCTGCTCCTATGACTGAGGTGTGCTTCCTGGGGAGGGACGGTGAGATTGCCCCCTCCCCCTCACACACACCCACAGGAACATCGCAACGTGTGTTCGCTTATAGACGGACCTGAGACGTGGTCCGGTCTCTGTCTGCACACGGGACAGCAGAGGACACAACCCTTCTGTGGAGAAGAGGTTTAACTGAGCAGAGATGTGCAGGCTGGAGATGAGCATACGGCATTTCTGATGGACACAACAGAGGACACACTCTAGACCTGAGCACAGATACAACAGAGGACTGAATATTAGTTCTAAAGGGGTTGATGAGTCTCATTCACATTTCCCTTTATTGTGTGTGTGTCTCACAGCAGCAGTGGAGATGACTCCCTGGACGGCTCCCCCCAGCCTCCTCTCTCCCCCTCCACACCTCGACTCTCTCCTCGTAAACGCTCTCGCGCTCAGGGCCCCGCGGAGCCGCCGCTGCTGCGCACAGATAAGCGCACCATCTACACGGCAGGGCGTCCCCCATGGTACAATGTGAGTGGGACAAGCTTCAAGGAGGCCTTCGTCATCGGTGAGACTCATACACTGTGACTGTGATACGAACTGTGACACAGACATGGGTCTTTAGAAGCCCTGCAGGCTCTGCTCAGACCACAGATCAAGTCACTGGGAGAAAACGTGTGAGCTCTGTCATTGCCAACAAATTGTATATAAAGGGCTGGACAATAAATTGATTTTAATCATTAAGTCATTAACAAAGGGTATATATGTAACACAGTATTGAGACTCACTTTTGCTATTGACCAAAACCATCATGTGATTTCCTGCACAATTAGTGGCTGACTAAATACCTTTTTGGCCCACTGTGAGGACAGGGCATTTTGGCTATTGTGTACATCTGTCCACACCAGTAAAGTGTGTATGTGCGTGTCTCTGTGTGTGTGTCAGGTCTGTGTGGAGGAAGTGCTTCAGGTAAAACCACTGTGGCCAATCGCATCATCGAGGCTCTGGACGTGCCCTGGGTCGTTCTGCTGTCTATGGACTCATTCTACAAGGTACTTAAACCACTACTGCTACTGCTACTGCTACTACTATTACTACTGCTGTTGTTGCTGCCAAGAATGATAAAAGCTGATTTTGTGAAGCTCCACGATCACGGTGCTGTGCCCTCAGTCTCCCCCCTCTCCCCTCTCTTTCCCCCCCTGCTGCAGCGTTCTTTTCTCATCGACTCGGTTGCTCTTAAATCCATTGTTGTTTGTAAATAATGAGTTTTCTGCTCGTTATCGCCTCCATAAGCTTTAACCATCCAGAGGGTCAATATACCACCACTGAACCAGGACTGAACCAGGACTGAACCAGGACTGAACCAGGACTGAACCAGGACTGAACCAGGACTCAGTCAGGACTCAGCCAGGTCAGAGCCAGGTCCAAACCAGGTCCTAACCAGTCTTTCCTCTCTGCAGGTGCTGAACCCAGAGGAGCAGACGTTGGCTTCTAAAAATGAGTATAACTTTGATCATCCTGATGCATTTGACTTCGAGCTGCTGGTGTCCGTCCTGCGAAAGCTGAAGAAAGGGAAGAGCATCAAAGTCCCGGTGTACGACTACAGCTGTCACTGTCGCCGCAAGGAGTGGGTGAGGAGGGGCGAGGAGGGCGGGAATACAGTATCTTTGTGACTGATTTATTATAGCCTGGATGGATCTAAAAACAGCTGTAGGTCTGTGACTAAAGAACAATGGAGAAAATAGAGAAAAGATCCTGACAACAAAGCACACACTTTAAACCTGAGCACACACAACACAAGACACACTCTAGACCTAAACACTTGAGACCTGAGAACACACAACAGAGGACACACTCTAGACCTGAGCACACCCAACAGAGGACACACTCTAGACCTGAGCACACAAACAGAGGACACACTCTAGACCTGAGAACACACAACAGAGGACACACTCTAGACCTGAGCACACACAACAGAGGACACACTCTAGACCTGAGAACACACAACAGAGGACACACTCTAGACCCGAGCACACATTCCTGACGGACGAAAGGGAAAACTTAATGTAACCCTCTATGTTAAGTTAGTTATCACCTGCTCACAATAGAAGCCGAGATGACGGGATAAAACCTGGTCCAAAACAGGACTAAAGCAGGACAAAAATAGGTCTAAAGCAGGTCTAAAGCAGGACTAAAGCAGTGTGTAAGTGTTGCTCTCATGCAGATCACAGCTGATGTAGTGCACTCTGCTGTAGCTCCGTCTCTCGCTGCTGGCACCAGATCGATCTGTTTTTTCTGGTTTTCACGGCTCAACGGCACCAACACAGTCGGGGAGTAGAGCCACACACCACCAGTCACTCAACACGGCTCTGTTCGCACAAGTCTGAGGACACAGGACTGAACTAGGACTGAACTAGGACTGAACTAGGACTGAGCCAGGACTGAGCCAGGACTGAGCCAGGACTGAGCCAGGGCTGAACCCCTCCCTCTCTCTTCCCTCATTCCTCTCTCTTCTCTCCCCTCTCTCCCCATCCTCCACTCTCTCCCTCTCCTCTCTCCCCTCTCTCTCTCCCCTTTCTCCCCACTCTCTCCACTCTCCTCACTCTTCCCTCTCTTCTCTCTCCCCTCTCTCTCCCCTCTCTCTCTCCCCTCTCTCTCTCACCACTCTCCTCTCTCTCCTCCCTCTCTCCTCTTTCTCTCCTAGTCCTCTGCGTCTGTCTGCAGAAGATGGATAAACGCAGTCAGACATCGATAAGGAGTCGATGGACGCAGTCACAGAAACATCTGTCTGTTATAACAGTTATCATCCATCCTTCTGAGTCTGCAGGAGGATCATTAGAGAACCGCACTGTACACAGCGGGACAATGCTAATGCTAGCTCAATGAAGCCCTATAGGGAAGTGCTCATTGTGACGTTTGGCTCTCTCTCTGGCTCCATGTAAAAGTAAGCTCCTCTAGCTCAGTAACGTTTGTGTCACACTCACCATTTTGGTGGTTTATTGCTCTCTGTGATCCTGCTGTTTATATTGAGTGTAAATATAAATCAGTAATCTAATCGAATCTTCTTAATCTGCAGAAAACGGTGTACGGAGCTAACGTGGTAATTTTTGAGGGAATCCTGGCGTTTGCAAACAAAGAGCTCCTGAAGGTGAGTGAGACCGGAGAGGGAGACCGGAGAGGGAGACCGGAGAGGGAGACCGGAGAGGGAGGCCGGAGAGGGAGGCCGGAGAGGGAGGCCGGAGAGGGAGGCCGGAGAGGGAGGCCGGAGAGGGAGGCCGTAGCGGGAGGCCGTAGCGGGAGGCCGTAGCGAGAGGCCGTAGCGGGAGGCCGTAGCGGGAGGCCGTAGCGGGAGGCCGTAGCGGGAGGCCGTAGCGGGAGGCCGTAGCGGGAGGCCGTAGCGGGAGGCCGTAGCGGGAGGCCGTAGCGGGAGGCCGTAGCGGGAGGCCGTTAAAGGGAGGCCGTTAAAGGGAGACCGTTAAAGGGAGACCGGAGAGGGAGACCCTCTCTGCATGTCGCACCAATCATACCCAGAGGACACTGCACTACAGGGCGATGGTGGCATGGAACTCACTACCCCAGTTTCTGGTAGATGGGATGAATGCACTTGATTTTCATAAAAGATTGAGAGTTTTCCTTTTCACTGAAGAATGGTACTGATTTGTTTTTGTATTTTTGAGTTGTATTTACATTATTTGGATAATTGAATGTTTAAAATGTAATGTAGACATTTTTTAAATTTAGATTATTTTTGTTGCTGCTGTTAATGTTGCCGTGTGGATGTGTTTGTGTATGTGTGTATAGATGGTTACTGTGTATTTTTGTTATAACGTTTCTGTATTGTTTGCGTGTGCGTGAGTGCTTATGTGTGTGTGTATGTATATATATGTATATATGTGTATGTGTGTGTATGCATATATATGTATATATGTGTATGTGTGTGCATGTATGTGTATGTATATGTATGTGTGCATGTATGTATGTGTATATATGTGTATGTATATGTATGTGTATGTATGTATGTATATGTATGTGTGTATATATGTGTATGTATATGTATGTGTGCATGTATGTATGTGTATATATGTGTATGTATGGTGTACATGTGTGGTGTATATATATGTGTATGTATATATATAATTTTGTTTTTGTACATTCATTTTTGTCCTTTGTACGTTATATTATGTGACATGAAGTATATAGACCCCAGGAAGAATAGCTACTGTCTCTTTCAGTAGCTAATGGGGATCTGAATAAAAAATAAAACAAACAAACCATAGAGGGAGACCGTTAAAGGGAGGCCGGAGACCGGAGAGAGACGCTTCTGCTTTGTCTTGTTATGAAACAAAGATATTTCATGGACATTTTGTGAAAGACAAAGAAACAGACAGTGGTAGCAAAACAATGAAGCGTTTATAATACAACACTTTCAGAATCGTTTCCTGTATTAATGGAACCTGTTTGAACTCGTTATCAGACACCTGTCCACAGCCTCAAACAGTCACACTCCAAACCCCACTATGGCCAAAACCAAAGAGCTGTCAAACACCAGAAACAAAATTGTAGGCCTGCACCGGGCTGAGAAGACTGAATCTGCAATAGGTAAGCAGCTGGGTGTGAACAAATCAACTGTGGGAGCAATTATTAGAAAATGGAAGACATACAAGACCACTGATAATCTCCCTCTGGGGCTCTCCCAATATCTCACCCCATGGAGTCAAAGTGGGGTATACCTCTGATGAAAATTACTGGCCTCCCTCTTCTTTTTTAGTAGGAGAACTTGCTGACTAAATACTTTTTTGCCCCGTTGTATATCAGCAGTAAATTGACCGAGTGTGACATCACCATAGTGTTCCTCTCTGGCAGTGGCCTTGACTGAGAAACCTCTAAAGGCATTCGAACTTGAGGGATGAATACCTTTGCAAGCCCCACTGGTCAGGTTTGCACGTTCTCCCGTGTCGACGTGTCATTACTCTACAGGGAGAGAGGAGCCTCCTCCGCAAAAACACACAGACATAGTTTCTCTCAGTCATAAATCAGCTGTTGTTCCAACGTCCCTTGAATCAATATTAATTAAAACTCTCCATAGATCTGTGCCGTACAAAAGCTTTTGACAAATGTGCCGCCGTTTTCATCCGATCTCCTCAACCTCATCTCCGCCGGACTTCCCTCCTCTATCAGTCTCCTTACACTTTCTGACAAATTCACTTACTAACGTTTAAAGCTAGGGGTCTTGACTTTCAGACCACAACAACAGAAATCTTTGATAATTTCTATGTCATGAGTACCTGGCTCTAACAGTTTGCTTCTACCACTAGTTTTCACATCATGTCTCAAAAAACATACGCAAGAGGAGGTCTGAAGCATGAGGTCTGAAGCAGGACTAAAAGCAAGTATAAAGCAAGTCTAAATCAGGACTAAATCAGGTCTAAAGCAGGTCCAAAAGGAGCTAAAGCAGGTCTAAAGTGGGTCTAAACAGACATGGAGTACTTCAAGGCTCTGTCTTGGACCCATTGTTGTTCTATTACTTTAATGATGATCCATGAAACCTGGTTAAACCTAGAGAAAAGCTCCTCTAAAGTCTTTACAATGGCTGACGTCTGCTGCAGCTCAGTCCTTTTCTCTTCATGGTCTGTGTGTTTTGTCCGGTTTCCCCTCGGGACTCGTTCAGACTCGTTCAGAGCTGTTGTAATAAATCTCGTGTGACAGAGAGTGTGTAGCAGGTCTGTGGAAAGGCGCTTATCTCCCACTCACAGCTTTGCTCTTATTATAGAAGAACATTCAATCACATGTGTCAAACCCTGGGGGGCCCCTACAGAGGCCCCTGAGTGACTCTTTATTATTATTATTAACCTCTGACCATCAAGTCCGCAACGTATCTTTAGATCAGCTCAAGAGAAGACCACCCCCACTCAGCTCACAGCCCATAGAGGCAAATAGTGACTCACAAGGCTGTTTTCTAAGATAAAGATCAGATGCTGTGGTCTCCTGGTTCGGACCTGGTTCGGACCTGATTCAGACCTGGTTCAGACCTGGTTCAGACCTGGTTTCTGTGTCTGTAAACTCATTTTTTAAAGTAGAATAGTTCCCTGTGGATGAAGCCGCAGAGAAATGGATGAAAGTCCCTCCTCTCTCTCCCACCATCGATCTCACCTCTCTCCTCCCCTCTTTACCCCTCTCTGAGACCACAATAATAATAATGCATTGGTTTTATATAGCGCTTTTCTGGACACTCAAAGAAGCTTCACATGTCATTATTCTTTCACTCCATACACAGTGGTGATAAACTACTACTGTAGCCACAGCTGCCCACTGTACACACTGTAGCCACAGTGTGCCCCAGACACAGAAGCGAGGCAACCAGTCTGTGCCATCGGCCCCTCCGACCACCACCAACCATTCACACACCAGACTCATTCTAGGCAATGGGGGTGAAGTGTCTTGCCTAAGGACACAACGGCAGTTTGGCACTTTACAGCCGATTTAGATTAGATTAGATTTAGTGACAGCCAATGGCTGACATTATGCATTTCAGACTTTTTTGACCAACTCTCATCCCTGTAACAAACAATAGTGTTGTCTGTGTCTCCCTCACTCTGAGACATGTTTATTACTCTCTTTAATGTAGACTATTACACTTTCATTGTTGAAACTGGCCCCGTACCAGGGCGGCCGCTGTAAACAAACCAGCGTGTGCGCACAGATCCCAAAGCTAAAAAGAGAAAGAGTCGATAATAAAACTGGACTAAGAATGAGAATGAACATTTGCTTTCAGTCAATGAGGAAGGACTGCTTCAAGTTTAATCAAGTTTTGTTGCAACACGAGGAACAATGAAGCGCAAAACACCGTTAACGGTGATTACGTGAAGGATTCATTCATCTTAAATTTAGAGCACCCATTTTCAGACTTCAAAAACCTTCGCAAAGACGGTGAAAGAAAGGGCCATTAAGAACATTAATTCAGCAGCAAACTTCAGCCTGTGATGGATATGAACAGACAGTGTGTGATGCAGGTGTGTGAACTCTTAGTCAAAAAGCAGATTTATTTACTGTATTTGTACAACTGCATGAAGGAAAAAAAATTAAGTTAAAGCAGAGTCGTCACGTGGTGCGTCATTCTCTCCAGGACTCGCTGCAGTGAAAATACACATTTGATAATCATGAATGCTTATTATGTATTTGTAGCCTTTACTTTGTCATTTAGATATTAGGCTAATACAGCTTCAGCCTGTGTTACCTTCATACAAGCCTTATACAAGGCTCCAGACAGATTTTTCTTGTCAAATATGGCTCTTTGAACCTTTTGAGTTGCCGACTCCTGGTATAAACTGTAAAAACGTGGGGAAAAAATGCCCGGGCCATTTTTTTGTCCCAGTCCAGCCCTGCGCTGAGGTCTGTAACTTTGGCGTCACATGACCTGGTGTCTCTCTCCTGCAGCTGCTGGACATGAAGGTGTTTGTGGACACAGATTCGGATATCCGGCTCGTACGGAGGCTGAAGAGGGACATTTGTCAGCGTGGCAGAGACATCAACGGAATCATCAAACAGTACAACACCTTCGTGAAGCCGGCGTTTGAGCAGTACATCGAGCCCACGGTGCAGCTGGCCGACATCGTGGTGCCCAGAGGTGAGAGGTCAGGAGGCCTTAGACACAACGTTTACTTTAGCCTTTCCTGTTCATAAGAAATATAGAAATATCAATACAGGTGTTTAAAGACACAGATGCAGAAGGAAATGTTCAGATGATTCTTACAGCTCGTGTCTCTTTCATCTTTTGTTTGTTGTGTCCTTTTCAAGGAGGGGAAAACTTTGTGGCGTTGGATCTAATCGTTCAACATGTCCACAGTCAACTTGAAAAAGTAATTACACAAACTGATTTTCACTTTCACAAAAGACTGACCTTGAAAATCAGCTGTAACTGTCACTCATAGAACCGTATTTACATCTGTAACTGTCACTCATAGAACCGTAGTCACATCTGTAATTGTCACTCATAGAACCGTAGTTACATCTGTAACTGTCACTCATAGAACCGTAGTTACATCTGTAACTGTCACTCATAGAACCGTAGTTACATCTGTAACTGTCACTCATAGAACCGTAGTTACATCTGTAACAGTCACTCATAGAACCGTAGTTACATCTGTAACTGTCACTAGTAGAACCGTAGAACCGTAAATGTCAAAAGTGTTAATTCTGTGTTCTGTGATTGGCCGATTCTTCCTGGTTGCTGCTGTTTCTCTGCTCTGATTGGCTGCTGAATGTGACTCGCCCCCTGCTCACAGCGAGAGATCACTGTCAGGTACTTTCTTTATATTGTGTATCTGGCTGTTTACTGGCCATGACCTCCTCTGTCTGCCCCAGGTCGGCTCTGGCCTCGGCTCATCAGGGACAGCCTCTGCCTCTGACCCTGAGCGTCCTGAACCCAAGTCCTCAGGTCCTGGGCATGCACACCATCATCAGGTCTGGACCGGACTCAGAATCCTAGACTAGAGCCAGTCTTGAACTGGTCTAGAATCGGTCTCAAAGTGGACTTTCTGTTTTAGGAACAAAGAGACGAGTCGTGATGAGTTCATCTTTTATTCCAAACGTCTGATGAGACTCCTGATCGAACATGCACTGTCCTTCCTCCCACTGAAGGTGAGGACCAGGTCTGAGCCAGGTCTGAGCCAGGTCTGAGCCAGGTCTGAGCCAGGTCTGAGCCAGGTCTGAGCCAGGTCTAGGCCAGGTCAAGGCCAGGTCCTGGAAAGTCCTGGAAAGTCCTGGAAAGTCTTTGAACAGGGGCTTCTCTCCAAAATGAATCTTATTTTCCCTCCACAGTCTGTTTCTGTGGAGACGCCGCAGGGAGGAGTCTACGAAGGCAAACGACTCGGAGGAAAACAGGTCAGTTTCAACACACGGCACACTTTCTGGTCTCTCTCTGGTCTCTCTCTGGTCTCTCTTTGGTCTCTCTTTGGTCTCGCTCTCTGGTCTGTCTCTGGTCTCCTCAGAAGACTTATTTTGAAAGTGAGAAGTTTGCTCTGACCTTGTGTTTCTGACGTCTTCTTGTTGCAGATCACTGGAGTGTCGATCCTCAGAGCAGGAGAAACCATGGAGCAGGCGCTGAGGGCCGTGTGCAAAGACATCAGGCTGGGCAAGATCCTTATCCAGACCAACCACAGCACGGGAGAACCAGAGGTGAGACCAGAGAGGGAGACCAGAGAGGGAGACCAGAGAGGGAGACCAGAGAGGGAGACCAGAGAGGGAGACCAGAGAGGGAGACCAGAGAGGGAGAGACAGACCAGTTTTATCAGTAGTCCTTACTCCTGTGTCCTGTTGCAGCTACATTACCTGCGACTCCCTCGGGACATCTCTGAGGACTATGTGATCCTCATGGACTCCACTGTGTCGACTGGAGCCGCCGCCCTCATGGCCATCAGAGTCCTGCTGGTAACTGCACCTCACTTGGTCATCTTCCTCTCTCTCCTCATGGTTCTCCTGGTCTCATGGTTCTCCTAGTTTCCTGTCTCTCCTGGTCTCCTGTCTCTCCTGGTCTCATGGTTCTCCATCCTCAGGACCATGACGTTCCATGGGCCCAGATCTTCCTCCTCTCTCTCCTGGTCTCTCCTGGCCTCATAGTTCTCCTGGTCTCATGGTTCTTCTGGTCTCGCCTCAGGACCATGACGTGCCAGAGGACCAGATCTTCCTCCTCTCTCTTCTCATGGCAGAGACAGGAGTCCACTCGGTGGCGTACGCGTTCCCCAGAGTGAGAATCATCAGCACAGCAGTCGATAAAGAGGTCAACGAGAGGTTCCACATCGTCCCCGGGATCGGTCAGCTCTAACTCAGCTCTAACTCAGCTCTAACTCAGCTCTAACTCAGCTCTAACTCAGCTCTAACTCAGCTCTAACTCAGCTCTAACTCAGCTCTAACTCAGCTCTTACTCAGCTCTAACTCTCTCTCTCCTCTCTGATGCTGGCTTTGTTTTGCAGCTTTAGCCAATGTCTTTAGCTACGTTCACACCATAGACACTTGAAAGTAGCTTCCACAATCACTGGATGCACATTCTCTAAATATCATCCGTGTGAGTTTAGAAGTCCTGGTCTGTGGTGGGAAAAAACACAAGAGTGGAATTGGCGGGTGGGCTTTGATTCTAACAGGGTTAAACTCGCTAAACTGACAGCAGCCACCTGCAGGAGGATCAGTGAGGGGCTGGTGCTCTGTGTACTGGGTGCAGCTCTGACTGCCACCCCCCCGACCTAGAAATGGATTAAGGGGAAGAAAATGGATGTAGTGTCTTCAGTCTTCTCGCTCTGACTGCTAGATTTGCTGGCAGCAATGCCGGCGTTGAGTCGTTGTTCCTACTGCCTCTGCCGCAACGTCACCATTGACTTTTCATTGAAACTGGACGCAGGATCCGGATCCGCTTTTGAGACGCAGGTTTTTGCTCAGTGTGAATGATGTTTCCTTTTGTCTCCAGGGAACTTTGGCGACCGTTACTTTGGCACCGATGCTCCTTCAGACGTGTGTGAGAGCGACGAGGCCATGGACTGCTGAGGCGCACAGGCGGCCATCTTGAAATGCTGGCGGCCATCTTGGTAATTTCCGCAGACGCAGAGCTGTTAAAACTTGAACAACATTCCACTGGTTTGAGGAGTTATAATCTCTGAAACTGTTACTGGAGAGAACTCACTCTAAAATAACTTTATCATAGAGTTTTTGCTGCAGAAGTCAACAATAGGAGACAAAAGGTTCAGCGTTGACAATTTTCTTCACAAAGACGATTGTTGGAACCATTTCAAAGTTGTTTACAATGAGAAACTAGATAAGAAGGTTTCTTTCTCTCTCTGGTCTCTCTCTCTTTGGTCGTTCTCTCACTCTCACTCTCACACTCTCCCACTCTCACACTCTCCCTCTCACTCTCTCACACTCTCGCACTCTCGCTTGTCCCCTTATGTATTTGGTTCCAGAAGCTGAGACTGGACCAATACTGTTCATGAGTTTTCTTTTAACTGGAGACAGGTTGAAACTATGATTAATTTGTGCCAACATTTCTGAACAACACAACTTTAAAAACCCACTGAACATTTCCCTGAAGTCGCAGCGAAGACTTTTATTGAGAAAGGGACACTACTTGAAACTACTTGAAACTACTTGAAGTGTGTTAGATTTGTACTTCTTTTGTAAACTCTTTTTAGCACTTGACTCGGTCTTTGTCTACATTCGAACAGTGAAGACGCCAATGTTTTGTACTTTTTCCAACGTTATTTTGAATTAAATTAAATCTATTTGAGTGAAACGTTTCCTGTTCTTTCCTTTGTTTATTTTCTGATCGTTTTTTAAAAATGTCACAAAGCTCAGAGTTTGGCCTTTAAGATCTTGGATTAAACATTTTCACATAAATATCCCTGAATAACAGCAAACATAAGAAATCCAATAATAACAAAAACATTTAAGATGACCACTGTCTAGACATGTTAATAAATGTCACAGATCGTCAATGGCCTCAGACCCTTCTGCATCAGAGAAGAACCACTCAGAAACAGAGCTCTGAGATCATTCCACAGACACAGCGCGCCCTCTGTTGTTTGATTATGGAACTGCAGGATCACTTAGTTAAAATGTCAAACTGGTGCAAGCAAGATTTAGGAGTTATTAAATCCGTATTCACTATTAGCGCTAAAAGTTAGTTCTTGTCAAAATGGACCAAACGGGTCTAAAGCAGTCCTAAAACACGTTGATATTAAACACATACTTTAAAGTAAACATAAGAATTAAGTAGAAACATTCTGAGATTTAAAAGAAATAAAATAAAAAAAGTCTTAACATCAAAAGAAATATCAACTGAAATCACAAGCGCTCTAATGACTGAATTTTATCTCAAAATATTTAGATTTTAAAATAAATAATGTTGTAACTTAAATCTCAGTGTTTGTAAATATATAAATATGATCTTTACCGGACATGGCACCGTTTCCCCTGCGGTGCAGTTCTCTTGTTCGTCCAGCAGAGGGAGACAGCACAGCGGACATGACGTTCTGAGGCTGCTTCACGGTCCGTTTGTTTGTCTTGTTCAATCTACTATCGGTCCATTACGACACAGTTTACGGAGTTAAAACAGTTTACTGAAGACATGCGCTGCGCTTTTACACGAATCAGTGTTTCTGGGTCACACTTTAACCACTTTAACTTCATATATTTATGTTTAGAGTTCGTTATTTCGCTATAATTGTTGTTGTAAGTCACATGTACCCAGCTGAAACGAGCTTTACGTCTCGCGTGTGTCTGTGTACGTGAACGCCCCATCCTCAAACCATCAGGATTCAGGTGAGAAGGAACTTTACTGCGATTAACTGAGAATACTTGTGGTTTTTAAAACATTTACATCGACTCCAGCAAAACGAGGCCTTAGAAATGTCACGTGTTATAATCTTATCTGCATCGTCTGCTGTTTTAGTGTCATAACAGCGCGATGAGGGCTTTGCATCCAAACTACAGTGACCTCAAATTATTATTAAAGTTAAATTACATCATTCATGACGTAAAATCAGTTTCACACGTTTTAGATGCTGGGCAAATCCGGTTTTAACAAAGTGCGTGTTAACAGTATTTAATTCGGTTTCTCTGGTTTGAATGTGTTGATGTTTGTGATGTTGTGTTTCCATAAAGTTCAGATCACTGCGAGAATTCGGCTCTGGGACTTTGGATGTGAGACTTTTATCGCTTTTAGCATTTTGAGTTTATAAACAGAAGTATAGATGCCGGTAACACTGAACCAGGGTTGAATAAGGAGTGATCTAAGACTAAAGCAGGTTTAGTCCAGGTTTAAACCAGGACTAAACCAGGCCTCACTGTCCTTTTATTAATTGGAAAAGCCCTGGTCTTCATTTAGCCTGTGTAACCAGAGTCACGTCTGAGTGGGAGGAGTTTTGTCTTTTCGTTTTTCTCAGTGTAGTTCATGTTTGTTTCCCTGTTTGTACTTTAATCTCTCCTCTCTCTCTGTACTCTGTGTCCTCTCTCTCTGTCCTCCCCCCCCCCCTCTGTCCCCCCCACCCCCTCTCTCTGTCCTTTCTCTCCCCCCCCCCCACCCTCTCTCTCTGTCCTTTCTCTCCCCCCCCCCACCCTCTCTCTCTGTCCTTTCTCTCTCCCCTATCTCTCCCCTATCTCTCTCTGTCCCCTCTTTCTTCTCTCTCCGTGTCCTCTCTCGCCTCTTTGTCCTCTGTCTCCTCCTCTGTGGCCAGGGCTCAGGATGGCGTCTCTCTTTAGGTCCTACCAGGCCCTGATTACCAGACGGCCGTGGACGGTGCAGATCATCACAGCAGGTTTGAGCCACAACCCAGCTGTGAAAACCTCTCTGCTTTACTCCTGCTTGAGTCCTGCTTGAGTCCTGCTTGAGTCCTGCTTTACTCCTGCTTGAGTCCTGCTTGAGTCCTGCTTGAGTCCTGCTTGAGTCCTGCTTGAGTCCTGCTACCTCCGACACAGACCTGAGGCTGTGTTTCCTTCTCCTCAGGTTCTCTGGTGGGTCTGGGGGATGTGGCGTCTCAGCAGCTGATCGAGAGGAAGGGTCTGAACCACAACGTGCAGAGAACCATAAAGATGATGGGGATCGGCTTCTGCTTTGTGGTAAGCGGCTCTATCCCGAGCTCCACATGGTCCCTATGTCTGGACTAAAGTCTCTGTCCTCAGGGACCAGTGATCGGCTCCTGGTACAAAGTCCTGGATAAACTGGTTCTGGGGACCAGCAAGACTGCAGCCATGAAGAAGATGCTGGTGGACCAGGTGTGTGTTCAGAATGGGTCAGATAATATGTACAGTATACCAGGCTATAAAATATAATAGTCATATTAAATGTGTGTGTCTGTGTGTGTGCGCAGTTGTGTTTTGCTCCTTGTTTCCTTGGCTCCTTCCTTCTTCTCTCTGGAGCTCTGAACGGACTGAGCAATGAACAGAACCTGCAGAAATTCAGACGGGTTAGTGGCACAGACACACACACACAGAGATACACACACAGACACAAAGAGAGATACACACACAGACACGGAGATACAGACACACGCACACACACACACACATCTGGGGCGCCAGGTCTGATGAGAGAGAAAACTCAAAACAAACACATCAGCGCCTCTTCCTGTTTACACCGTGTCCAATCAGAGAGCAGCGTTTACACAGACCAGTTTAGAACCACCTAAGACCTGGTCCACAAAGAAGACCCAGACCAGGACCAGAGAGCGAGAGACCAGAGAGCGAGAGACCAGAGAGAGCGAGAGACCAGAGAGAGCGAGAGACCAGAGAGAGCGAGAGACCAGAGAGAGCGAGAGACCAGAGAGAGCGAGAGACCAGAGAGAGCGAGAGACCAGAGAGAGCGAGAGACCAGAGAGAGCGAGAGACCAGAGAGAGCGAGAGACCAGAGAGAGCGAGAGACCAGAGAGAGCGAGAGACCAGAGAGAGCGAGAGACCAGAGAGAGCGAGAGACCAGAGAGAGCGAGAGACCAGAGAGATACTGGTCCAAACAACACGCCAACCTCTCCCACAGTTGTCCCAGTGTTATTTCTGCAGCTGAAGTTACGTACCCCAGCTTTAATAACGACATGAAGCAGCTGTTAGCTCTGACCACCCCCAATGCGAGCGCTGTTTGATGTAGTGCTGCCTCCTCCCTCAGGAGCAGGTCTGACAGAGTCCCACTGGGTCCCCCTGGGCTTGGACTCAGGTCTGGGTCTAGACCAGGTCCTCTGCTGAGACTGCAGATGCTCCACGTCGCCCTGAGCTCTATCAAACATGTATCACAAACTATAATTTCACTTAAGTCTCATTAATGACACATGTTTAAAGCTGAGGTCTGTAACTTAAGTCTCACAAGTAACAGTTAATGTAAGAAATAAGAAATGGACAATAATGAAATGATCTTTATAGCGCCGTAACGATGGAGCCATGGCAACAGGGGTAGTCGTGCACAGTTTTTCCAATGTGGTTTTACTGCAAATGGCAAATAAATGAATCTGAAGCTCTAAAAGTTTCTCATGTGTCTGTTGTCAGGATTACCCAGATGCTCTCATCGCGAACTACTATGTGAGTGCTGCTTCATTTCACTGGGAAAACTGGTCTCTCTTTCTGGTCTCTCTCTGGTCTCTCTCTCTGGTCTCTCTCTCTGGTCTCTCTCTCTGCTCTATCTCTAGTCTCTCTCTTCTCTCTCTGCTAGTCTCTCTCTTCACAAAGTAGTGATGTGTTGTTCTGTTTCAGCTCTGGCCTCCAGTTCAAATCGCAAACTTCTACTTCATTCCTCTGCACCACAGGTACAAGCTCTCTCTGGTCTCTCTCTGGTCTCTCTCTGGTCTCTCTCTGGTCTCTCTCTGGTCTCTCTCTGGTCTCTCTCTGGTCTCTGATGGTTCTCCCCCTCTGGCAGGTTGGCAGTGGTGCAGGTGGTGGCTGTGATCTGGAACTCGTACCTCACGTGGAAAGCAAACAAACTGTGAACAAAGCGAGACTTGATCTGGAGAAACTTGAAGCAAAGAAATTATCTTGTTTTTATACAATGTTTGAACTTGTCTCATGTTACAAAAACAAACATATTAGAAGGCATCGTGTATGATATGTTCTCTCTCTTTCTCAGGTCTCTCTCTCTGGTCTCTCTCTTGCTGTCTCTCTCTGTGGTCTCTCTGCAGTCTCTTTCTGGTCTCTTTCTCTGGTCTCTCTCTCTGTGGTCTCTGCGGTCTCTCTGGTCTCGGAGCCAGAGCATGATACTACCACCCCCATATTTGACCCTGAGGCTGATGACCCGTTTTATACCTTCAGAAAGTGTGTGTCTCTTACAGAAGTGTGTCTCGTGAAAATATTTTATGCCCAAATAAACAGAAGATCCTGCGTTTGTCTCACTTCATTTAAGAGAAAACGGTTTTCTGCGATCTGAAGTCTAAAGCAGGTCTAAAGCAGGTCTAAAGCAGGTCTAAAGCGGGTCTAAAGCGGGACTAAAGCAGGTCTAAAACAGGTCCAAAGCAGGTCCAAAGCAGGATTAAAGCAGGTCCAAAGCAGGACTAAAGCAGGTCCAAAGCAGGTCTAAAGAAGGACTAAAGCAGGTCTAAAGAAGGACTAAAGCAGGTCCAAAGCAGGACTAAAGCAGGTCCAAAGCAGGACTAAAGCAGGTCTAAAGTAGATCCAAAGCAGGTCTAAAGTAAGTCCAAAGAAGGTCTAAAGCAGGACTAAAGCAGGTCCAAAGCAGTTCTAAAGCAGGTCTAAAGCAGCAGGTCTAAAGCAGGACTAAAGCAGGTCTAAAGCGGGACTAAAGCAGGTCCAAAGCAGGTCTAAAGCAGGTCTAAAGCAGGACTAAAGCAGGTCCAAAGCAGGTCCAAAGCAGGACTAAAGCAGGTCTAAAGGACTAAAGCAGGTCCAAAGCAGGACTAAAGCAGGTCTAAAGCAGGACTAAAGCAGGTCTAAAGCAGGACTAAAGCAGGTCTAAAGCAGGACTAAAGCAGGTCTAAAGCAGGACCTCTCTGGTCTGAATGTGATTCAGCTTGTTCTTGTTCAACGTAATTAAAGAGGAAACATTAAATGGTGTTCAGAGCTTTGGGTTCAGACTGGACTCGGCTCCTGTTCTTGCTCCACATTTAGACTGGTACTCATGACGCACACATACACACACACACTAACAGAGACACACACATAGAGAAAAAGAGAGACACACACACGGATGACTTGCCCACAGACATGACAGTGGTCTCCCATCACAGTACTACCCAGGCCCTTCTTAACTTCACAGAACTGACTAAATAAGACTTCACATGGAGCTATGACACGTAGCTAAGAGATTCAGTATTAAACCCATGTTTCTGGTTCTAAAACAGTTGCCTCTGTCACTGGTTTCTTGTATTTGTGATGTCACATCTTTAGGACCACCCTCACTCAGCCAATCAGCTCTCAGCCCAAAGAGGCAGATAGTGACTCCCAAACCAGATTAGGATTGAACCAGGAATCACTCCCAGCACCAGTCTCTCTCTCCCCCGCCCCCCACCTCCCCCATCTTCCCCATCTCTCTCCCTCTCCCCCATCTCTCCCTCTCTCCCCCCTCTCTCTCTCTTGATGACGTCACTTAGACCTCTCATATAAACAGTCCGAGGTGCATCTCTCCAGGCGAACCTCACGGACCACAGGACGGAGACACATCCAGCAACACAAGTGAGTGACACGCACACACACACACTTCCCCTGGTCTACGCCCGTGGGAGGAGCAGTGGCTCTACTCTGAGCTCCTCTATCTCTGAGGAGAGACCTGCAGTTTATTTATTGTTGTGTTGTTGTCTTTCTGATACTCACACAGTTCATTGTGTTGTTCTCAGGATGCAGTGTGTGTGGCTGCTGCTCCTGCTCTCCTCTCCTCTCTGCGTCTCCTCCTCTGCTCCTCCCTCCCTCCTGCACCTCCTGGGCCTTGCAGACAGAGCACAGCACCTCCTGGGGGGCCAGCCGGAGCCCAGTGAGCAGGAGGAGGTCCTGGAAGTGCAGCGGCAGAGCAGAGAGCAGTCTCCCATCTCCATAGACCTGACCTTCCACCTCCTCCGGAACATGATCCACATGGCCAAAGTGGAGAGCCAGAGGGAGCAGGCGCTGGTCAACAGGAGGGTGCTGGACGAGGCGGGGAAGTGACCCCTGCCGCTGCTCCTGCTGATCCTCTGCTCCTGCTGATCCTCTGCTCCTGCTCATCCTCTGCTCCTGCTGATCCTGCTCATCCTCTGCTCCTGCTGCTGTAGTTTTTTAGCACGATCATTACTCTTTAGTTCAACAGGTTTAGATTAAGATTAGGATTAAAATGTCATGTATTCAGCCCTCAGTGGAATTGCTACAGATTTAAGCCCAAAATGTGAGTGACATAAACAGTTACTGAGCCAGTAGAGCCAGACTTCCCCATGAGCACTTCCCTGTTAGCATTATCCTCTGTGTACAGTCTGACGTTGCAGGAGGAGGATTCTGTGTGATTGACTTTATTAGTCCTTTATTCTTCTGTCTCAGAAAGTTCAGACACAGGCAGAACATGCAAACCTGTTTCTTCAGCTGCTGTGGATTTATTTAATGATTTGATTTTTCTGTTGCCAACGAGCTGCATGAGAAAATAATGAAAACAAGATCAAAAAGCAAATACTGTAAGATTTGTAATAAAATAATTGAAACATAAACTGGGGTTTGTATTTTTATATATACTGTATATGTATGTAGAGTGAGACCAGAGTGAGACCAGAGTGAGACCAGAGTGAGACCAGAGAGAGACCAGAGGGAGACCAGAGAGAGACCAGAGAGAGACCAGAGGGAGACCAGAGGGAGACCAGAGAGAGACCAGAGAGAGACCAGAGAGAGACCAGAGAGAGACCAGAGAGAGACCAGAGAGAGACCAGAGAGACACCAGCGAGTGACCAAAGAGAGACCAGAGAGAGACCAGAGGTAGACTTTTTCTGTAGGTCTTGACTGACCAGGTTCTTACAGACTGGAGCTGGTATTTTGGCCCATTCTTCTATGCGTTAGACCTGCTTTAAAGTCTCTGCTTATCAGATACACGTACACACACACATACACGTTTTTGTTACCTGGTGGGTCCCTTTGACAGGGCCGTTCAGAATGGGACCCATAGACATAATCTTTTTTTACTGGGACTACTTTAAGTAATACAAAACAGTCAATAGAAACCAAACAACTATTTTAAAGGAATTTTATTTTAGATTTTGTTTTCGAATTGCAGTGATTCTATTTTTGACATAGAATTTAATGCCACTCCATGTCCGATGTCTAAGGTCATCTGGTGAGGCATTAATGCAGGCCAGGCAGTGAGACTTCCCAGGGACCTTTCCAGTCTGTATGAAAGGTGTCATGGTCTTCTCCACAGCCTTCACCTCAGATGCAGACCATGGCTTTCTTACACGTTCTAGGGAGAGAAATAAAAATATATTAGCAATATACACTCCCAGGGTTAGGACCAAGCAGCCTGGCTGTAATCCCCCACCTGGTACACTTACCAGAAGGGGCACTGCCACTACCATGGGGTGCATCTGGATGAATGGTTGAAGGTTCTCCGCTTGAAGTTTCTTTTAGCCCGTCCGTTTGTGAGAGGATCTCTACTGCTCTCCCTGTCGCACAGAAAATAAAAATACAAGTGGCCTTTAGGGGAAAAAAATCATACATATTTTAATAATATCAAGAATTACCTTCAGGCTCAATTTGTATCTGGTCGAGGCTCTTTCCTTCGAATTCCGTCACTCTTCCCTGCTCCATGGCCATCAACACTTTGCTGATTTTGGCCAGCTCCAGTGTCCCCTCTGGTAGTCTGTAATATTGCCTGTGGATGCGAATGTCATGGCCGAGGAAGTTGGCAAGTATGTCCATCTCATTCTCTTTCATATTGAGAACTGTAGACATAGTAGCTATGTGCTTTCTAAGTTTGGTTGAGGATAGCATCTCTGGATGCACCGCACCACATTCTTTGGCTACCTGGCGTAGGGAGTCTGATCCCCTGATGTGGGTGTCTGCGCCCGGGCGGGAAAAGAAGTATGGGTTATGGTCAGAGATGGAACAGGCCCTTCTGTTCTCCACCAGCACCTCCATCGAAGCAATCATTTCAGGAGTCAAAAGAACCGGCACTTTCCGACTTCTTTTCCCTTTAATTTCAATGCGTTGAAAATGCTGACACAGCTTTTTCTCAAGTTGGGACAGTCCCAGAGCAATGTCAGAATGGATCCCAGTCTTACTTCTTAAGGTAAAGGCTGTCAGTGGCATCTTTGAAACCTCACCTTCCCTTCTTCGATTGAAAATGATGACCTCACAAAGAGTCAAAACTGCCAGTTTAGACCAATGCTTAGACGTTGGCTCACTTATTAGGGTTTGCACATATTCAGGTCGACATACCTCAATATGTGCATGCATGGCTCTAACGTCCTCAGTCAGAGGGAGCAGGTCCGGAGTGTTCCACTTGGCTTGCCGGAGGGTCTGTAGGGCAGCAGAAGAAACACAGACGTCCCACCTCTTCTCAAAAAGCAGCCGGCTTCGTTGGAGGTTTTTAATAAATAGTTCATCAACACAATGCTCCATTTTTGAGTCACATTCAAGAATATCTGCTAGCTTTCTGAGGCTATGGCCGAGTTTGAGGGCCAAGGATGGAGTCTTGTATTTATTTGTTTCCTCATCATATCCAGCCACAGACCTGACTGCATCAATCACATGGTTAAAGTTGGAAGGAATAAAGAAATCCTTAATTGTTTTCAGTTTCCCTGCGGTTTTTGCTTCGTTAATTAACCTACCGACTTCTCTCATTTTCTGCCTAATGTAATCATGCTTAGTCTTATCATGCCCGTGTTTTAAGTACAGGTGCTCTCCGAGTCTCAGAATCCCCTTTTCTGCTTTGACAACACCCGTGACCTCATCCTGATGCATTGCCGAAATTAAAGACCACAGCTTTTTGCTGATGCCCTCCGGTACAGGCTGGGCTAGGGAGCAGAGGGACTGGACCCTACTTCTACCTGGTTTAGCCTGGGCATCTTTCTGTGAAAGCCGGCACCTGGCCACATGCCTCCACAGCGACTTTCGCTTAAGCAATGCCCCACAGTCTATACAGTGCAAAAACTCACTGGATTTAACTGGGGAATTTGGCTGTTTAGCTGGGACTAAAGTTCCAATGCCGGCCTTTAAAACCTCAAAATTGTGCTCACGGTTTCCACTATTCCTGATCAAATCAAACTGAAGTTTACGTGCTTTAGATTTCACAGGTAGAGCCAATGCTCTGGCTACGTCACTTTCATTTCCATGTTTTCTAGTCAAATGACGGGACATTTTGTGGCAGGACATTGAACAGTAGAGGCAGAAGTGTCTCTTGCTGTAAACTCGCCCCCCATTTTTCTTCTTTTGCAGCTGCATGATAACAATCTTATTTGCCTTTGGTTCGTCACTTTCCGAGTCTTGAAGAAAAGTGTTTTTGATTTTTCTTTTTCCATACTTTTTTACAGGTTTCTTCTTGACAGTTAAAGCGTCAGAATCTGAGTCGACTTCATCAATTAGGGACTCTTGACTAAGCTGCACAAACAACAAATAATTTGTAATAATTCTATATAACAATTTGAAGTCATGACTTGTAGTCAGCACTTACCAGTGGTTTGTAAGCGTGCGCTTCAGTGTGCTCCTCCATGATTTCTTGCAGCCTAATGAACCACACACTTGCACCTTTTTCTAGCCTGACACCTGATTTCCTCTGTTGTGCTGCTCCATGATTGGCTCCAGCCTGCTGGACTGAAATTGCCCCAGTGTGCCCCTCCTTGATATCCCGCAACCCACCACCAGGGTTCCGACACATAACACACTTTTTTCAGGAAAGTAAACCTCCAGGGGTCCTTTCCATATTTTTACAGAGACTGCATAAGGACCGTTAGAAAAGCATTACCCATTGATTATTAAGCTTGGACCAGTGGGGTCCGGTGTTCGGGCCCCACCACGTAAAACCAGTCCCCATGACGTGAGTGGAATCTCAGGTTATGGAACCCACCAGGAGTTGAAAACAAGTGCACAGAGACACAGAGACACACACACACACACACACACACACACACACACACACACACACACACACACACACACACACACACACACACACACACACACACACACACACACACACACACACACACACACACACACACACACACACACACACACACACACACACACACACACACACACACACACATACACATACACATACACACACACACACACATCTCTCTGATCCATGGTCCTCGTTCTGAGACAAAGACTCAGATAATTTTAGCGTCTCACGCATGTGTCACGTATGATAATCTCATCTGATCTGCTCTTTTGGGAACGTCCGCTTTGTTCTGACTTCTTTACGTAATCTACCTTTTCACATGGGTTTGAAAGGCAGAAGAAGAAACAGGGGGAGGAGGAGGGGGAGGGGGAGGAGAAAGGGGAGGGGGAACTCAAAGTTACAAAAGTGAAGGAATATGTTTCTTCTGTCACTGCAAAAAGGAATGAAAAATAAGTATAAAACGTATTTAAGTCTGAGCTCATTCTTAAAACAAGATCTGACTGCAGACCAAATCTGTCTGTACCTGTGTCTCTGTCTGTCTGTACCTGTGTCTCCTAAACCGGTAGCTGTCAAGTGGTTTTAAAGGACAAAGGGCGTAATATTTCTTCTTTAGAATCAAATACAAAAACATCTTCTTTCAAAACTCTTACAGGTGGAACCAGAGTCTGCAAACCAAGGCCACTCTGGTACAAACCATAAACAAACTGGGAGTCTGTGGGAACCATGAGAGCAGGCAGCTGTGTATCCAGAGAAACACAACATCCTCTGAATCTCACAACAACAGATCTGCTGACGAGGAGAGCACTGAGGCATGATGGGAGCTCACAGAGACCAGAGCCACTGTACAAGAGGAACACACTGTAGGCCTGGTGACAGACGTGGTATGGTCTCTCTCTCCCTCCCTCTCTGGTCTCTCTCTCCCTCCCTCTCTGGTCTCCCTCTCTGGTCTCTCTCTCCCTCTCTGGTCTCTCTCTCTCCCTCTCTGGTCTCTCCCTCCCTCCCTCTCTGGTCTCTCCCTCCCTCTCTGGTCTCTCCCTCCCTCTCTGGTCTCTCCCTCCCTCCCTCTCTGTCTCCCTCTCTGGTCTCTCTCTCTCCCTCTCTGGTCCCTCCCTCCCTCTCGGGTCTCTCCCTCCCTCCCTCTCGGGTCTCTCCCTCCCTCCCTCTCGGGTCTCTCCCTCCCTCCCTCTCGGGTCTCTCCCTCCCTCCCTCTCGGGTCTCTCCCTCCCTCCCTCTCGGGTCTCTCCCTCCCTCCCTCTCGGGTCTCTCCCTCCCTCCCTCTCGGGTCTCTCCCTCCCTCCCTCTCGGTCTCTCCCTCCCTCCCTCTCGGGTCTCTCCCTCCCTCCCTCTCGGGTCTCTCCCTCCCTCCCTCTGGTCTCTCCCTCCCTCCCTCTCGGGTCTCTCCCTCCCTCCTCTCTGGTCTCTCCCTCCCTCCCTCTCTGGTCTCTCCCTCCCTCTCTGGTCTCTCCCTCCCTCTCTGGTCTCTCCCTCCCTCTCTGGTCTCTCCCTCCCTCTCTGGTCTCTCCCTCCCTCTCTGGTCTCTCCCTCCCTCTCTGGTCTCTCCCTCCCTCTCTGGTCTCTCCCTCCCTCTCTGGTCTCTCCCTCCCTCTCTGGTCTCTCCCTCCCTCTCTGGTCTCTCCCTCCCTCTCTGGTCTCTCCCTCCCTCTCTGGTCTCTCCCTCCCTCTGGTCTCTCCCTCCCTCTCTGGTCTCTCCCCTCCCTCTCTGGTCTCTCCCTCCCTCTCTGGTCTCTCCCTCCCTCTCTGGTCTCTCCCTCCCTCTCTGGTCTCTCCCTCCCTCTCTGGTCTCTCCCTCCCTCTCTGGTCTCTCCCTCCCTCTCTGGTCTCTCCCTCCCTCTCTGGTCTCTCCCTCCCTCTCTGGTCTCTCCCTCCCTCTCTGGTCTCTCCCTCCCTCTCTGGTCTCTCCCTCCCTCTCTGGTCTCTCCCTCCCTCTGGTCTCTCCCTCCCTCTCTGGTCTCTCCCTCCCTCTCTGGTCTCTCCCTCCCTCTCTGGTCTCTCCTCTCTCTGGTCTCTCCTCCCTCTCTGGTCTCTCCCTCCTCTCTGGTCTCTCCCTCCCTCTCTGGTCTCTCCCTCTCTCTCTGGTCTCTCTCTCTCTCTGGTCTCTCTCTCTCTCTGGTCTCTCTCTCTCTGGTCTCTCTCTCTCTCTCTCTCTCTGGTCTCTCTCTCTCTCTGGTCTCTCTCTCTCTCTGGTCTCTCTCTCTCTCTGGTCTCTCTCTCTCTCTGGTCTCTCTCTCTCTCTGGTCTCTCTCTGGTCTCTCTCTCTCTCTGGTCTCTCTCTCTCTCTGGTCTCTCTCTCTCTGGTCTCTCTCTCTCTGGTCTCTCTCTCTCTGGTCTCTCTCTCTCTCTCTCTGGTCTCTCTGCCCCTCTCTGATTAAATGATCGGATACAGGTTTAAGTGGTTAGCAGTGCTTCTAAGTGAGCACCAATACTCGAGACTGACTTGAGCTTGTAGGTCTTTGCTCCGATCACCAGCGACAGCAGCTGGTGTCCGAGGCAGATCCCAAACACTGGTTTAGTCTGGTTCTGGTCCAGGTCTAGGACTGAGCGCAGGTTCTGGATGGTGGAGGAGCAAAGCTGAGGGTCTCCAGGTCCGTTACTGATGAAGAGACCATCGAAGTCTGGACACAAGAGACACACGTCAGAAACATTTGTATACAGAGGGACAATGCTAACACGCTAGCTCAATGCTAACCCACTAGGGAAGTGCTCATGGTAAAGTTTGGCTCCACTCGACTTCCATGTAAGCTCTCATTAACATTTGTGTGACATCACCATTTTGGGCTCAAATCTCAGGTTTATCGCTCTCTGTGATCCTGCTGTTTATACTGTATGTGATGTTGTCTTTTGCGCGACACATTTGCCCCTGACCCTATTCCTGTATAGCGCTATATGGAGTGTATTACAGAGCAGAGCAGAGCAGTTACCGTCAGGGTGGAGGGGGTGGTCCCAGGGCACCACAGTGACTCTGGCTCCTCTCTCGGCAAAACAGCGAATCTGGTTAAACTTCACTCCACAGTCGACGATGGTGACTCTGACAGAACCAGAGGGGTTGAAGACACGCGGCTCCTGCAGGGGACAAGGACATTTATTACATTTAAAACATGAGAACCAGAACCAGAGTAGAGCCGCTGCTCCTCCACCTGGAGAGGAGTCAGTGGAGGCTCATCTGATGGGAGGCCTCCTGGAGGGGACGAAGGGAAGACCCAGAACACAGAGGGACTGTGTCTCTCAGCCTCAGGATTCCCCCAGATCAGCTGGAGGAGGTGTGTGTGGAAAGGGAGGTCTGTGTCTTTGCTCAGGCTCCTGCTGCGACCCAGCAACAAATGTATAATGACAACTTCTGTGTTTTGTGCATCCGAGTGTGATTGGAGCGAGAGCGAAAGAACATGACTTTGTCTGGTTCTGCTCCTTGAGGGAGACCTCCTGGATCAGGTTCTTCAGGTCTGGGTTCTGTAGGAAGACCTTACCTTGAGGGAGACCTCCTGGACCAGGTTCCTCAGGTCCGGGTTCTGCAGAGGGACCTGGTTTTCCTCGGTGCCCTCCACCAGCAGCCTCCCCAGCAGTGTGCCCTTCTCCCGGAGCTTCTTGGTCAAACAGCGAGTGTCCACTCCTGCAACAAACATCAGTGAGAAGCTTAGGATCTCCTCTGACCCTGATCATAAGTCTCCCTCTCTGGTCTTTACCCTGGATGCCGGGGACCCCCTGCTCCTGGAGCCACTGATCCAGAGATCGAGAACAGCTCCAGTGAGACGGCTCCTCAGACAGCTCCCCAATGATGAGGGCCGAGGCGTGGATCCGGGACGACTCGAACCACTGAGACCACACACAAACACAAGACCATGAGGGAACACACACTGTATACAGATGGGAAATGCTAACCAGCTAGCTCATTGAAGCCCAATAGGGAAGTGCTCATGGTGAAGTTTGGCTCCTCTCTGGCTCCTATTGACTTCCATGTAAAAGTAAACTCTTCCAGCTCAGTAACGTTTGTGTCTCACTCATAATTTTGGGTTTAAATCTGTGGTTTATCGCTCTCTGTGATCCTGCTGTTCATATGTGATATGGTCTTTGTAAATCCAGATATGACCATATAACAATCACTCTATGAAGACTTAAGGACATAAAACATTGCACTTTTTTAGATTGTAAATGAGAAATATTTGTACCTCTATTGCACATAAGATGCCTCATATCTGATCTTCTTTTTACTTTAACCGTTTGTAAATTCAGATTCAGATTCATTTTTATTTGCCATTTGCAGTAAATAAAACCACATTGGAATACGTTAGCAAAAAGTCTCCAGTGTGCACAGACAAATACAAACATAAAACTACATTGAAAGACAAAAATAAAACAAATAAAACAGTAAACAAGTGTCACTGTGAAATCGATCGACTAAAACAGTTTCAAAACAAGTGCAAATCATTCAAGTGCTCTGTTCACACTGATAACAGCCTGTGGATAAAAACTGTTAGCGTAACGAGATGTCCTGCATCTCAGAGAGCGATATCTTCTGCCAGAGGGAAGAAGCTGGAACATGGCTTTCCCAGGGTGGCCAGAAGAGTCATTAACAATCCTAAGAGCTTTGTTTAAAAGTCTGGATTTATAAATAACCTCCAGAACAGGAAGCTCACAGCCCACGGTCCTCTCTCTGGTCTCTCTCTGGTCTCTCTCTGGTCTCTCTCTGGTCTCTCTCTGGTCTCTCTCTGGTCTCTCTCTGGTCTCTCTCTGGTCTCTCTCTGGTCTCTCTCTGGTCTCTCTCTGGTCTCTCTCTGGTCTCTCTCTGGTCTCTCTCTGGTCTCTCTCTGGTCTCTCTCTGGTCTCTCTCTGGTCTCTCTCTGGTCTCTCTCTGGTCTCTCTCTGGTCTCTCTCTGGTCTCTCTCTGGTCTCTCTCTGGTCTCTCTCTGGTCTCACAGCCCACGGTCCTCTTTGCAGAGCACCTTGTTTAACGCTCTCTTTTCTTTATCTGTGATGTTTCCAAACCACACAGACACAGAACCAACAAGTAAACTCTCAATGGTGCAGCGATATAGGTTGAGCAGAATCTTAGAGTTAGTGGTAAATTCTCTAAGTTTACGCAGAAAGTAGAGACGCTGACGAGCTTTCTTAACGACTCGGTCAGTGTTTTTAACCCATTTCAGGTCGTTAGAAAGAGTTAAACCCAGAAACTTGCACTCCTCTACGATCTGCACCTGGGACTTGTCGATTACGACAGGCAAATGAGAACTGTTGCGACTGAAGTCGTAGACCAGTTCACAGTTAAACGCATCGAATAAGATCAGAGGTTTCCAAAACCTCTGATCTTATTGAGGCCAAATGTAACAAGTACATCTCTATTGTGAAATAAATAAAGTTTCATCTTTATCCAAGGCTTGACCAATGGGATTGCTTCATTCTCCAAACTCCATCTGGCCTTAGCAACACGTCTGCCTGGTTTACAGCGTGAAGCTAACGTAGCTTAGCAAATGCTCATATAAGGAAAAATACTCCAGCTAGCTTTGTTCACATCAGCCTCTTCTGCATCAAAGCTAATGTGGTGTATTAATATGATCTAAAAGTCTATGTTTCAGGTTCACAGGTTAAGATCCTCATCTCAAAAACGAGTTGACCTCTGACCCCAGTATGACGTGTGGGACTCACCTTGCTGAGGCCGTAGTCCCCCTCCTCGTCTTTGGGGACGCCATAATTCCCGATCAGGGGGTACGTCAGGGTCAGCAGCTGGCCCCGATATGAGGGGTCTGTGAGGGCCTCAGGGTATCCCACCATGCCAGTCTGGAACACTGCAGACAGAGGCCAGGGTCAGACCGGAGAGCGAGACCGGAGAGCGAGACCAGAGAGCGAGACCAGAGAGCGAGACCAGAGAGCGAGACCAGAGAGCGAGACCAGAGAGCGAGACCAGAGAGCGAGATCCACAGGTCCTGCCATCCTGCTGCTGTCAGACTGTACAATGAGAACTGCTGAGCCTGAATATATCTCTTTCTGCATAGAGCAATTTCAGTATGTCCACTGAATGTCCCTTATTATCCTGTACGTATATAACTGTACACATGGAAATGATTAAACGATCAAAGGTTCTCTATCTTAATATCTGCTGATAATATCTGCCGAAGGTTTTCTCGCACTTCGTCCTGTGTTGAAACGCTGTGTAAAACTGAGACAGAGAAACAGGCGTGTTGTTTGGGCCCGAGTTGCTGCGAGTACCCAAGAAAGACTGGCATTATAATGAACTAAAACACAAACAAATTTCAACACATATTTCTCAAGGACAGATTGATAAAAGAAAGCAGAATGTGCAAGAGCTGCACTCTCCCAAACACAGCTCCACGGCTCGTTACGCTGTTGTTCTGCAGAGTACTGACATGAAGAGGGTTCTTAGGGAGGTCAGAGAGGCCTCACCCTTAACACTTGGCCACATTAGAACATTATTCCAGACTAATGACATCACCAGACCAGAGAGAGACCAGATCTGCCACATCCTCAGACCAACTTTTTCAGACAGAAAAGTTTGAGAGAGAAGACCACCCTCACTAATCTCTCAGCCCAAAGAGTCAAATAGTGCCTGATCGGGCTCTTTCTGAATCCACAGACGAACACAGCATGTGGTGGCTTTCTGGTGGACACGTGTTTATGAATGAAAAGTCAAGAACCGCAACTTTAAACCCACTCACCCACTTCCCCGGACACAGACGCCTTGGCTCCGAACAGCGTCCCTTTAAACTCGCTTCCATCCTCCAGAACCAGCGTGACCCCCGTCATTATGCCCAAAAATTCCACTCCCGGTGAAAGTTGGGCGATCAGGGAAGAGAAAGGTGAGAGTGGCAGTCCACGTGAAGTCTCCGTACGCGCCAAAACCACCGGAATGACGCAGAGGACGTAACTTAGCACCGGATATAGAGCAGCCGCTGAGAGTCCCGGTGAGGGGCCGGGGAGAGGTTAGAAGGCCGGTATGGGTCGGTCTAGTCCCGGGAGAGAGGAGCACACTTGTTCCACGCGCCGCCAGCTGGGTGGAAGTCTGCAGCGCGCGTGAACGGTCAAGCCCGAGCGCGTGCGAATGGCAGCTTCCGGTTTGTGATATCAAAATAAAATTGAATAACTAAAGTCAAAAGGAGCCAGAGAGAATTTGAGCCAAACTTTACCATGAGCACTTCCCTATTGGGCTTCATTGAGTTAGCTGTTTAGCATTGAGTTAGCTGTTTAGCATTGAGCTAGCAGGTTAGCATTGTCAATCTCTGTACAGTCCATGGTTTCTCTGCGTCTGACTTGATTTTGAGAAAAGCACGTGTTTGAAACTTACTTCCGGTCGCCCTAGGTCGCTTTACGAGTACCAGTCATGGATCTACCACAATAAGGTACCAGTGCGTCACATTTACTTCGTCATCCCGTTGGGAACCTGCACCGCTGTTAGAGATGGAACTTTGGATCTGAAAGAATAGTGTCCGTTCCTTTGGTGGAAATGATTTATTAGAGCCAAAGGAACTCACGTGTGTCTTGGAAACTAAACTACATTATCTGGTCTCTCTTTCTCTGGTCTCTCTCTCTGGCCTCCCACTGGTTTATCTCTGGTCTCTCTCTGGTCTCTCTCTGGTCTCTCTCTGGTCTCTCTCTGGTCTCTCTCTGGTCTCTCTCTCTGGTCACTCTCTCTGGTCTCTCTCTGGTCCCTCTCTGGTCCCTCTCTGGCCTCTCTCTGGTCTCTCTCTCTCTAGTCTCTCTGGTCCCTCTCTGGTCTCTCTCTCTCTAGTCTCTCTGGTCCCTCTCTGGTCACTCTCTCTGGTCTCTCTCTGGTCCCTCTCTGGCCTCTCTCTGGTCCCTCTCTGGCCTCTCTCTGGTCTCTCTCTCTCTAGTCTCTCTGGTCTCTCTCTCTCTAGTCTCTCTGGTCCCTCTCTGGTCTCTCTCTGGTCCCTCTCTGGTCTCTCTCTCTCTAGTCTCTCTGGTCCCTCTCTGGTCGCTCTCTGGTCTCTCTCTCTAGTCTCTCTGGTCCCTCTCTGGTCTCTCTCTGGTCCCTCTCTGGTCTCTCTCTCTCTAGTCTCTCTGGTCCCTCTCTGGTCGCTCTCTGGTCTCTCTCTCTGGTCTCAGTCCAGTAACTTCCCAAACAAAACAGCTGAGAGTCACATTTGTGCAGAACAGTAGGCGGGGCTAATGGGTGGGTGAAAACAGACATGAAGAGAGCATCTCTGTTGTGATCCTGTCAGGAGGGTAAGGCCTGGTCAATACTGTGATGGGAGACCTCTGGGAAAAACAGGAGTATGCTGCATGTGTGTGATTGTAGCGCAGACACACACACTCACTCACAAACACACGCACATACATTCACACACACTCACTCTGCACACACACACACACACTCTCTCTCTGGTGTCATGTTCTGTTATTATTCCAGGACTCTAGTTCCATAAATACATCACACACTGAAAACACAAATAATTGTTCACTTCTTTCACTCACTCAGAGCTTGTGCAGCAGCCCTCCTCCTCCTCTGTTTCTCATGTTGCTTCAGCTAGAACACTTTACATTTTGCGGGTATATTGTGAGTGGATCCCAAAAGAGGGTCATTGATCCCAGAAGTCCAAACAGACCCGAGCCTTATTAACTAGTTTTGACCGATATTATGATAAATCCATGGTTATGACCCAAGTGGAAGATACAATGAAGTAATGGTGAAAAAAATATAGCAAGACATACGAGTTGGAGGGGATCTCGCTCTCTCTTTGGTCTCTCTCTCTGGTCTCTCTCTGGTCTCTCTCTCTGGTCTCTCTCTCTGGTCTCTCTCTGGTCTCTCTCTGGTGTCTCTCTCTGGTCTCTCTGGTCTCTCTTTGGTCTCTCTCTCTGGTCTCTCTCTCTGGTCCCTCTCTGGTCTCTCTCTCTGGTCTCTCTCTGGTCTCTCTCTGGTCTCTCTCTGGTGTCTCGCTGGTGTCTCTCTGGTATCTTTCTGGTCTCTCTCTGGTCTCTCTCTCTGGTCTCTCTCTGGTCTCTCTCTGGTCTCTCTCTGGTCTCTCTCTAGTGTCTCTCTGGTCCCTCTCTGGTCTCTTTCTGGTCTCTCTCTGGTCTCTCTCTGGTCTCTCTCTGGTCTCTCTCTGGTGTCTCTCTGGTATCTTTCTGGTCTCTCTCTGGTCTCTCTCTCTGGTCTCTCTCTGGTCTCTCTCTGGTCTCGTTCTTTTTTTTTTAATACTTTTTTTTTTTGCCTTTACAGTTCCAGGAGAATGTCTTAAAAAACAAAAAACCACACAAGGCAACATTTATAATGCAAAGAAAGGATTACATGAAATAAAAAGTAAAAAGTATCCGGGTCTCTGGATAATCCTGTGGGTGCAGACTGGAGGTATGTGCGACAGCTGCAGATCACACACAGAATACAACAACAGTGTCGCAGTTCTATCAAAGAAAACTTTTTCATCGTTTAAACTGACGATTCTTTGCAGCGAGAAGAGCTATATTTTTTCAGGTCAATTTTATGACATTTGGATCAAACTTTATTGAACAAGGGACACAGGAAAAAAACTCTGTGAGTAAGTCATTTCCATCATATTTCCATTATTTTTGTATTTACTGTGTATTTGTGGTTTTATAGGTTTGGCTTGGTTTGCTCTCTTTGGGTCTCTCTGGTCTCTCTCTGGTTTCTCTCTGGTCTCTAGGGTCTCTCTGGTATCTCTGGTTTTCTCTCTGGTCTCTTTGGTCTCTCCTTGGTCTCTCTCTGGTCTCTGTCTGGTCTTCTCTCTGGTCTTTGTCTGGTCTTCTCTCTGGTCTTCTCTCTGGTCTTTGTCTGGTCTTCTCTCTGGTCTCTCTCTGGTCTCTCTCTGGTCTCTCTCTGGTCCTATGAGCCTCATGGAGCTGGAGAAGCAGCTTCTGTGTCCTGTGTGTTTGGAGATGTTCAGTAAACCTGTGGTGATCCTGCCCTGTCAACACAACCTGTGCCGAAAATGTGCAAGCGACGTTCTACAGGTGAGACCTCTTTAGCCCTCTCCTGGTCTCTTTCTGGTCTCTCTCTCTTTCTCTCTCTCGGGTCTCTCTCTTTCTGGTCTATCTCTCTGGTATCTTTGGTCATTCTCTGGTCTCTCTCTCTGGTCTCTCTCTCTGGTCTCTCTCTCTGGTCTCTTTCTCTGGTCTCTCTCTGGTCTCTATGTGGTCTTGCTGCTATAGTTGTGTATAATATTCTCCCCTGGTCTTCTTAGTCTGGGGGCTCTTCTGGTCCTGGGGGCCGGTTCCGCTGTCCCTCCTGTCGCCATGAGGTGGTGCTGAACCGACACGGAGTCTATGGACTGCAGCGCAACCTGCTGGTGGAGAACATAATCGACATCTGCACACAGCACAACAGGTCTGAGACTTCTGACCCTGAATTCTCTCGCTCTGGTCTCTCCCTCTGGTCTTTCCCTCTCCCTCTGGTCTCTCTCACTCTGGTCTCTCCCTCTGGTCTCTCTCACTCTGGTCTTTCCCTCTGGTCTCTCCCTCCGGTCTCTCCCTCTAGTCTCTCTCACTCTGGTCTCTCTCACTCTGGTCTCTCCCTCTGGTCTCTCCCTTTGTCTAAATCCTTGGACTCTATGAACTGCATGTTGTCTTTTTGTGTCAGTCTCTGTGTGTCTGCGTGTGTATGTATTGACATTGGGCAGTAGGGGGCGCACCAGGCCCGTTGTAGGAAAGCAATAGAAGCATAAACCTGAACCAGGTCTGAACCAGGTAGGAACCAGGGTTGAATGAGGACTGAACTAAGTCGGAACCAGGGCTGAACCAAAGCAGAACCAAGGCTGAATCAGATCAGAACCAGGTCTGAACTAGGTCTGACCCAGATCAGAACCAGGTCTGAACCAAGAATGAACCAGGAATGAAGCAGGACTTAAGATGTACAGGATGTATTTTAATGATGCAGTTTCTTGATTCAATCTGAGGTCAGACTGATTTGTAAAACACCTCCCTCTGGTGGTGAACCTGGAGAGTTACACACAGAGGTCATTTCCATCATTTACACATGTTAATCCATACATTATCTCCGTTCTCTGTCTAAAACATGAAAGTAAATATCCTCATGTCTGTTCTGTCCTCAGAGCCACGACCCTCTCGGTGAACGCCGCCGTGAGTGCTAAGCCCCGCCCCCTGCGCCTCATGTGTGACGAGCATCCGGACGAGCCAATCAACATCTACTGCTGTGGCTGCGACACGCCCACCTGCTCCCTCTGCAAAGTGTTCGGGGTTCACCAGGACTGTGATGTCGCACCTCTGAGACAAGTGTACGAGGAGAAGCAGGTACGAGCCAGATCTGTGGAGAGGAGGGAGAGAGGAGAGAGAGAGAGAGAGAGAGAGAGAGAGTGAGAGAAAATGGGGGTCTCTGTCTTTCTGGTCTCTCCCCTGGTCTCTCTCTGGTCTTTCTGGTCTCTCCCCTGGTCTCTCTCTGGTCTTTCTGAGACAGGTGTATGTGGCCAAGCAGGTACGGGCCAGGTCTGTGGACAAGTCCTAAAGTGGTTTAGTCACAGGACTCAAGGCAGGTCTAAACCTGGACTGAAACGGATATGACCCAGGTCTAAACCAGGACTATATCAGGACTAACCCAGGACTAAAGCCATTTACAGCCGCAGCCGCCCCACTGTGGCACCTGGTGTTCCCAGAAGTCTCCCATCACAACACTAACCAGGCCCTGCCCTGCTTAGCCTCAGAAGTGTGTGTTGTTGAAATGGCATGATGACCCAGTACAGTGGGGAAGGTTGGTGTGTTGTTTTGACCTTTTTTAGCGCAAATTTGACAGATTGACTAAAGCTGAGATGTGTGTTTCTGAGGTGGAGGTGAGTGAGGGCATCGCGGGCCTCGTCGCCGTTAACGACCAGGTCCAGGCTTTGATCTCAGAGATGGAGAAGGTCTGCAGGACTGTGGAGGTATTACTGCTGCTGCTGCTGCTGCTGCTGCTGCTGCTGCTGCTGCTGCTGCTGCTGCTGCTGGTCTCAGTCTCGGTCTCAGTCTCGGTCCCTGTGCTCAGGAGCAGAGCCGGGTGTGTGTGGATCTTGTGGGCCGCAGTCTGGACGGTCTCATCCTGATCCTGGATCAGAAGAAGCAGCAGCTTCTGAGCACCATCGCAGCAGAGGAGGAGCAGCGGCTGACACACGTGCGCGCTCTGACACACGCCCACACACAGAAGCTGCAGACAGGAGCCCAGCTGGTCCACCGTGCAGTGCTCACCATGGACCACCAGGGGCACATGGCCACATTCATACAGGTGAGGGGGGAGACCAGTTGAAGGTCAGACTCGTTCCTTGTTTGATTCTAATAAACTTAAAGAACATTCAGATTCTGTGGCCTTTTAAACAGAGACATCTGCATCTCATAAAACTATCCATTTCTGTTTCTCCACAGACAACACAAGACCTCCTCCAACAGTGAGTGTGAACCAGGACCAGGACCAGGTCTGGACCAGGTCTGGACCAGGTCTGGACTAGAGAAAGACCAGAGAGAGAGACCAGTGAGGGACCAGAGGAGGGACCAGAGGAGGGACATAGAGAAAGATAATAGAGAGAGAGACCAGAGAGAGACCAGAGAGAGAGACCAGAGAGAGACCAGAGAGAGAGACCAGAGAGAGGCCAGAGAGAGAGACCAGAGAGAGACCAGAGAGGGACCAGAGGAGGGACATAGAGAGAGACAATGGAGAGAGACCAGAGAGAGACCAGAGAGAGAGACCAGAGAGACCAGAGAGACCGGAGAGAGAGACCGGAGAGAGAGACCAGAGAGAGAGACCAGAGAGAGAGACCAGAGAGAGACCAGAGAGAGCCAGAGAGAGAGACCAGAGAGAGAGACCAGAGAGAGAGACCAGAGAAAGAGACCAGAGAGAGACCAGAGAGGGACCAGAGGAGGGACATAGAGAGAGACAATAGAGAGAGAGACCAGAGAGACCAGAGAGAGAAACCAGAGAGACCAGAGAGAGAGACCAGAGAGGGACCAGAGAGAGAGACCAGAGAGAAACCAGAGAGAGACCAGAGAGAGAGACCAGAGAGAGATCAGAGAGAGACCAGAGAGAAACCAGAGAGAGACCAGAGAGAGACCAGAGAGAGAAACCAGAGAGACCAGAGAGAGACCAGAGAGAAACCAGAGAGAGACCAGAGAGAGACCAGAGAGAGAGACCAGAGAGAGACCAGAGAGAGACCAGAGAGAGAGACCAGAGAGAAACCAGAGAGAGAGACCAGAGAGAAACCAGAGAGAGAAACCAGAGAAAGACCAGAGAGAGAGAAACCAGAGAGACCAGAGAGAGAGAAACCAGAGAGACCAGAGAGTGTGTGTATAATTACACTTGTGTCCACCTGAACTCATTACAATGATAGACCTGATCACAGATGCAGACAAGAGGCCCATGGTTTATTCTGAAGGAATCTGAGCATGAGTCAAACATGAGAGGGGGCAGCATCCTGCTGTGGACAGAGGCACCATCACTGAGGGGGGGCAGCATCCTGCTGTGGACAGAGGCACCATCACTGAGGGGGGGTTTCAGTCCCTGCTTCTGGGCTTAAATCCACTTGGTCCCTCCCAGTCCCTGTCCCTGATCCGGATCAGACCCTCAGGAATTCAGGCCAGGCAAAGACCAAAAAACCAAGAATCCACACGACATTTGAACCAGGTCTCAACAGGACCAGACCAGGACTAAAGCAGGTCTACTGCAAGACTAAAGCAGGACTAAACCAGGTCTACAGCAGGCCTACAGCAGGTCTACAGCAGGTCTACAGCAGGTCTACAGCAGGACTAAAGCAGGACTAAAGGAGGACTAAAGCAGGACTAAACCAGGTCTACAGCAGGTCTACAGCAGGTCTACAGCAGGTCTACAGCAGGTCTACAGCAGGACTACAGCAGGTCTACAGCTGGTCTACTGCAGGTCTACAGCAGGTCTACAGCAGGACTATGGCGGACTCCAGCAGCAGCGTTTCAGACTCCTCCATTGGCTTCTCCTCAGTCCAGGACTACGCAAGACCAGGTACTGACCCAGGCCTGAAACAGGACCGAACCAGGTCTAAACCAGGACTGAAACAGGTCTAAACCAGGACTGAACCCGGTCTAAACCAGGACTAAACCAGGACTGAACATCACATGTGACGATAATCCTTCTGATCCTCACACATACACACTGCTGTTACTACATCTGTGACCGAGACCAAGACCAGGACCAGGAAAGAGACCCAGACCCAGACCAGGAACAAGACCAGGACCAGGATCAAGACCAAGACCAAGACCCAGACCAGGACCTAACCTGATTAGTTGGATTCCACTTTGGTCCAAGTTAGGTCTGGGTCCGGTCTAGTCTGGGTCTAGTGTGGGTCTGGGTCGGGGTCTGGGTCCTGAGGGTTTGTTTATTGTTGTTGTTGTGGTTGTTGCCGTAGCGCTGAGGCTGGTGCAGTGGGAGGAGCCTAAGAAGTCGGGCGCCATCTTCTTCCTGTCCGTCACCGTGCTGGTGTCCATGGCGACGCTGTCAGTCATCAGCGTGGTGTCCTACCTGCTGCTCACCTGCCTCTGCTGCACCATCACCTTCAGGTGTGACCCAGACCCAACCAGACCCACCCAGACTGAACCAGACCCAACCAGACCCAACCAGACTGAACCAGACCCACCTAGACCCAACCAGACTGATCCTGACCCAACCAGACTGAACCAGACCCAACCAGACTGAACTAGACTGATCCCGACCCAACCAGACCCACCCAGACTGAACCAGACCCAACCAGACTGAACTAGACTGATCCCGACCCAACCAGACCCAACCAGACTGATCCTGACCCACCCAGACTGAACCAGACTGATCCAGATCCAACCAGACCCACCCAGACTGAACCAGACCCAACCAGACTGAACTAGACTGATCCTGACCCACCCAGACTGAACCAGACTGATCCAGATCCAACCAGACCCACCCAGACTGAACCAGACCCAACCAGACTGAACTAGACTGATCCTGACCCACCCAGACTGAACCAGACTGATCCAGATCCAACCAGACCCACCCAGACTGAACCAGACCCAACCAGACTGAACTAGACTGATCCCGACCCAACCAGACCCACCCAGACTGAACCAGACCCAACCAGACTGAACCAGGCTGAACCAGACTGAACCAGACCCAACAAGACTGAAACCAGACCCACCCAAACCCAACCAGACTGATCCAGACCCAACCAGACCCATCCAGACGGAACCAGACTGAACCAGATCCAACCAGACTGAACCAGACCCACCCAAACCCAACCAGACTGACCCAGACCCAACCAGACTGAACCAGACCCACCTAGACCCAACCAGACTGAACCAGACCCAACCAGACCCACCCAGACTGAACCAGACCCAACCAGACCCAACCAGACCCAACCAGACTGAACCAGACCCACCTAGACCCAACCAGACTGATCCTGACCCACCCAGACTGAACCAGACTGATCCAGATCCAACCAGACCCACCCAGACTGAACCAGACCCAACCAGACTGAAACCAGACCCACCCAAACCCAACCAGACTGATCCAGACCCAACCAGACCCATCCAGACGGAACCAGACTGAACCAGATCCAACCAGACTGAACCAGACCCACCCAAACCCAACCAGACTGATCCAGACCCAACCAGACTGAACTAGACTGATCCCGACCCAACCAGACCCACCCAGACTGAACCAGACCCAACCAGACTGAACCAGACCCAACCAGACTGAACCAGGCTGAACCAGACTGAACCAGACCCAACAAGACTGAAACCAGACCCACCCAAACCCAACCAGACTGATCCAGACCCAACCAGACCCATCCAGACGGAACCAGACTGAACCAGATCCAACCAGACTGAACCAGACCCACCCAAACCCAACCAGACTGATCCAGACCCAACCAGACTGAACTAGACTGATCCCGACCCAACCAGACCCACCCAGACTGAACCAGACCCAACCAAACCCAACCAGACTGATCCAGACCCAACCAGACCCATCCAGACGGAACCAGACTGAACCAGATCCAACCAGACTGAACCAGACCCACACTGTCATGTGACCTAGGCCCAGGAGTTGAACAACTGAGTCAAGTTTAGTGCTAATGTGCTTCTGTTTGCACATACAATCTGTGAGTGTGTCCATACAGTCTCCATTGGATAACATGGGACCTTCACACCTCTCTATGAAAATAACCACACTTTGGGAGTCTGTCAGGCGCAAACCGTTTGACTAATTCAAATTCTATTTTCAACTATTGATGGTCCATGTGTTGAGACGATGTGGAGCGATTTTCAGGGATTGAACGATTATCACATAGACAGAGAATGGAGGTTTGTTGTTGCCACGGCAACAGGGTAAAAAATAACCATATGTTGTCATTGACTTTTTGAATCCAGATGAAAAAACAGAATCATGTGCAAAATTTCAAATATTTGGAAAAAACTAAATTGAATTAGGCCCATGTAAAACTTTGACATAGTCTGTAGGGGGCGCTAATGAGCTAATTTCAATATTTCCACTTTCAGATGACCTAGACCCTGGAGCTGAACAATGGATTAAAATTTTATGCAAATCTGACTTTGTTTGTGCAAACGGGAGCAAATTTACTTTTGTCAAAAATTGAAAAAAAAATGTCACATTTTGCCGCTCCGCTGCTCGGACAACGTTTAACTGATCCAAATTCTATATTCAATAATTGATGGTACATGTCTTTAGACCATGTGGAGCAATTTTGAAAAAAAAAAAAAAAAAAAAAGATGATTTTTCCCATTTAAATGAATGAGCTTCCTGTTTGTCAGGGGGCGGAGCCATAATAACATTTTTTTCATGTTTTGACCTGAGGAACATGTGTACCGAGTTTCGTGGCTCTACGACAAACTTGACCTCCGACCCCCTCCCATAGGCGCAATGTAACTGACTTTTGTAGGGGGCGCTGTTCGGTCCTTTTTTTAGTCCCATAAAAATAAACACCAAAAAAAATTAATTTTTCGCCGGTTCTGAATTTTGGGCAAAATTTCACAACTTTTCATCAATGTTCAGGGGGTCAGGGGGTCAGGGGGTCAGGGGGTCAAATTAAGATTCAAAGTGCAGAAGAAAAAAGAAACCATAGAATTTTTTTTTTAAATCTTTGAGCAAAAACAATATAGGTTTCCATAGTAACCTATAATACAAATGATATGTCGTTTTAAAGCAAACGACGAGGCGAACGCAACTATTGGGTTCTCGGTGATTGACGAGCGCTGACTCGCTCGTCAATCACCTCGCCATCATGAGGTCACCCACCTCATGAAGTCGAGGCTGCGCCCGGAGATTGTGACTTATAACAGTTACAACGAGTAATGCCCGGGCGAAGCAATAGACCCTTACCCCAGTTGGGGCTCGGGCCTAAAAAGATGAGTTTTAAGAAGTGACTTAAAAACAGGCAGAGACTGAGCCTGTTTGACCTCAATGGGACTGATCCCAAAGACGTGGACCTGCGACAGAAGAAGCTCGGTCACCACAAAGTTTCACTGTGTCTTAGGGACCTCCAGCCTCATACGCTATGTCTTAGGGACCTCCAGCCTCATACACTGTGTCTTAGGGACCTCCAGCCTCATACGCTGTGTCTTAGGGACCTCCAGCATCATACGCTGTGTCTTAGGGACCTCCAGCCTCATACGCTGTGTCTTAGGGACCTCCAGCCTCATACGCTGTGTCTTAGGGACCTCCAGCCTCATACGCTGTGTCTTAGGGACCTCCAGCCTCATACGCTGTGTCTTAGGGACCTCCAGCATCATACGCTGTGTCTTAGGGACCTCCAGCCTCATACGCTGTGTCTTAGGGACCTCCAGCCTCATACACTGTGTCTTAGGGACCTCCAGCCTCATACACTGTGTCTTAGGGACCTCCAGCCTCATACACTGTGTCTTAGGGACCTCCAGCCTCATACACTGTGTCTTAGGGACCTCCAGCCTCATACACTGTGTCTTAGGGACCTCCAGCCTCATACGCTGTGTCTTAGGGACCTCCAGCCTCATACACTGTGTCTTAGGGACCTCCAGCATCATACGCTGTGTCTTAGGGACCTCCAGCCTCATACACTGTGTCTTAGGGACCTCCAGCCTCATACACTGTGTCTTAGGGACCTCCAGCATCATACACTGTGTCTTAGGGACCTCCAGCCTCATACACTGTGTCTTAGGGACCTCCAGCCTCATACGCTGTGTCTTAGGGACCTCCAGCCTCATACACTGTGTCTTAGGGACCTCCAGCCTCATACGCTGTGTCTTAGGGACCTCCAGCCTCATACACTGTGTCTTAGGGACCTCCAGCCTCATACGCTATGTCTTAGGGACCTCCAGCCTCATACACTGTGTCTTAGGGACCTCCAGCCTCATACGCTGTGTCTTAGGGACCTCCAGCCTCATACGCTGTGTCTTAGGGACCTCCAGCATCATACACTGTGTCTTAGGGACCTCCAGCATCATACACTGTGTCTTAGGGACCTCCAGCATCATACACTGTGTCTTAGGGACCTCCAGCCTCATACGCTGTGTCTTAGATAGATAGATAGATAGATATATACTTTATTAATCCCGAAGGAAATTGTGCACTCGTCCCTTGCTCGCAATCATACAGCAATACATACATAGGTAAGAATTATAAGATGCAAAAGTTAAAAACGAGACAATAAATACATTAAAAACAATAAAAACATTAAAAGAGAAGTTAAGGCACTGCAAAACAATTCTCAAGACACCCCACCCCCCCTCCCTCCCCCCCTGCTCCTCCCTGAAGTGGCTTTGTTATAGAGCCTGATGGCGTTGGGGACAAAAGAGTTTCTTAATCTGTCCCTGGAGCACCTCAGAGAGAGGAGTCTGGAGCTCCTGGTGCTTCTCTGGCGGGAAAGGAGCTCCAGACTCCTCTCTCTGAGGTGCTCCAGGGACAGATTAAGAAACTCTTTTGTGACCTCCAGCATCATACACTGTGTCTTAGGGACCTCCAGCATCATACGCTGTGTCTTAGGGACCTCCAGCATCATACACTGTGTCTTAGGGACCTCCAGCATCATACACTGTGTCTTAGGGACCTCCAGCATCATACGCTGTGTCTTAGGGACCTCCAGCATCATACGCTGTGTCTTAGGGACCTCCAGCATCATACACTGTGTCTTAGGGACCTCCAGCCTCATACACTGTGTCTTAGGGACCTCCAGCATCATACACTGTGTCTTAGGGACCTCCAGCCTCATACACTGTGTCTTAGGGACCTCCAGCATCATACACTGTGTCTTAGGGACCTCCAGCATCATACGCTGTGTCTTAGGGACCTCCAGCATCATACGCTGTGTCTTAGGGACCTCCAGCCTCATACGCTGTGTCTTAGGGACCTCCAGCATCATACGCTGTGTCTTAGGGACCTCCAGCCTCATACGCTGTGTCTTAGGGACCTCCAGCATCATACGCTGTGTCTTAAGGACCACCAGCATCAGCTGATCTCAGGGCGCCAGTGGGAACATAGAGCAGAATAAGATCACAGAGGTAAGAGGGGCCAGTCCATTTAAACATTTAAAAGTAATTAAAAGAATTTTAAAATCGATTCTAAAACCCACCAGAAGCCAGTGCCGAGATTTTAAAACCGGTGTCACATGCTCCCATCTACGAGTTCCAGTTAAAAGTCGAGCTGCAGAATTCTGGACGAGCTGCAGCCGAGAAAGTGCCTGTTGGCTCCGCCCACAGTAGAGTGCATTGCAATAATCCAAACAGGTTTTTACAAAAGCACAACAGTCTCAAAGTGCTGCTTTGTTAAAAAAGGCTTGGTAGACCCGGCTGCTGCTGCCCAGCTCTACAGGCCTGCTCTCATCCTCGACTCATCACACCAGCAACGTCCACATCCAAGTCAACCAATAACCACCAGGACAGCAAGTTTAAAAGCCGGAGACGGCCACTTCCCGGCCTTCTCAAGTCTGCAAGCCTCCGCCGCCCCACCTCCTCCTTTTCTCATCGAAGCCTGCTTGCCTACTGCCTCTGCCGCCACCAGTGCCTAGGCCCCGCGCTCAACAGCATCGCTCCCGGGCCTAGGGCGCCAAACATGCTTAATCTAATAACTTCTAACTGCATTTTCCCTTGTGGGTCTCTCCAAAGTGAAATGTCGTTATTTACCATTAGCAGTAAAACCATTGGAAAATATTGAAAGATTTGACTCCACATTCCTGCTCAAATAGCCCGTGCCTGAAATCGGCCTATTCCGCTTTCAGGCATACCCCTAAACTATCTCACATTAAATATTAGCCTCATCAGCCAACACCTATCTAGTTGCTTATCTAGTCGGGCTTATGGACTACCAAATAAATAAAAAATGAATACAAATGCATGTATAAAGAGCAGCAAGAGCGGCTGTAGGTGATGAAAAGGCAGGTGCAGAGTTGGTTGTGTGCAGTTGTTTGTGCACTGACTGAGGGCAGTGCACTCGTGAGGTCACAAACAGGCGAGGAGCTGATAAATATTCAATGTGATTCAACAACGTTTCCCATCTACCACAGGTTTCTTCTGCTATTCAATTCCAAAATTAAAAGTGGAACCCAGGCCGATGTGCGATAAAAACTGACACAAGAGGAAGAAGATACACATTATGGACAGGCTGGAGCATGGATGCATGTTTGATTAAGCTGTGAGATAGAGTTGTTACAGATAATTAGAATTGGAAATGTTTGATTGCTTGATTTGAATATTAAGAATTCACAAGTCGTGATCCGTACTGCAAGTCCAGCCTCAAAGGTTCAATTACATCTGATATTGCAAGCCATTTACTGATCTGTGGAAATGGTTTGTCAAGAAGTCCTATAAGACTAAAATCATACACAATTAAGGAGATAAAGAATAATAGGAAAAATGTGTACGTAGCTGACTGTGTTGAATTGACAGTTGGTCAAAGGCAGCATGAGCACTCCTAACTCTGAATAGATGACAAATTAACATGAATGGCCTGATTAACGGGGGCGGGCAGTGGCTCAGTTGGTAGAGCTGAGCCTTTGGGCCTGAAGGTCATGGGTTCAAGCCTACCATGAGACCTACCTCACAACTCACTGATGACTGCTGTCGTTGTGTCCTTGTGCAAGACACTTAACCCCACTGAAAGATCCTGTGGACTCAGCACCTGCAGGAGGATCAGTGAGGGGCTGGTGCTCTGTGTACTGGGTGCAGCTCTGAATGCCACCCCTGACCCAGAAATGGATTAATGGGAAGAAAATGGATGGATGGGCCTAATTAAAGCTGCATTACCTCACTTTATTTTTGTATTCATTACGAAAATTCAATCCATATCCATGCATTGGGATATACGTCCTTTTGAAGAATAAGTAACGCAGATTTGTGCTGGCGTGTCATTTTATTTTAGATCGAGTTTTCATGCAACAAGGAAGAGAATGTGTTTTGGGTCCAGATTGTGACCAATCACAGCGGACCACTGGCCCCCACTTTCTTGAGAAAATCTACAGGTCTCTTGTTAGCACAGACAGCTGAGGTAAACAAGCGGCGGAAGCTAACCTGAAACTTCCCGTGTCTTAAAGCAAAGGAAGGTTTCTCACCCATCATCTGTACTTCTTAGCAAGTTTTCCCTGTACTTCTTAGCTAAGAAGTACAGATGATGGGTGAGAAACCTTCCTTTGCTTTGACTAATCCCTGTACGACTGAGGGCCAGTGTTGCCAACTTAGCGACTTTGTCGCTAGATTTAGCGACTTTTCAGACCCCTATAGCGACTTTTTTTCAAAAAAGCGACTAGCGACAAATCTAGCGACTTTTTCTGGTGTTATTGGCGACTTATCTGGTGTTTTGGCGACTTATCTGGTGTTTTGGAGACTCGTGAAGCACGTATTGTTCTGCTGTCCTCAACGTGAGCCCCTCCCCCGTCCCAAAGCACTTACAGGCGGCCAGTCTCACAGTAGCCTTGCGCAGCAGTCCCAGCTACAGTCTATGGGCGGAGCAGAGAGAGAGAGAGGAGACTCAAAAGCACAGGAAGTTTTCAGGCTGCTGCAGACTGAACTTCAGCTCCACCACCACCACACATCCAAAGCTCCCCGGCCACTCCTACCACCGCCACCCCCCCTACTACCCCCCACTCCATCCGCGGCAGCTCTGTCCGTGACTCTGTTTTCTCTCAGTAGTGGGTCACATTAAATCATTTGTTATGCCAAACTATGAAAAAAAAAAAAAACTTACAAAAATAAACCTAAGTAACTCTGCCAGAGTGTGTCTTTTGGGTCACTTTGCCGGTCCCAAGCCCGGATAAAGGAGGAGGGTTGGTTGTAGAGCTAGCAATTTCACCCTACATAACAATCTTTTGATTACATTTGCTGTTATAACATTTAACAATACAGGACAAAACTGATGTGTGTAATGTGGATCTAGACAAAGCATTAAAATCATTAAATGTTGTTAATGTTGAAATTATTTTTGTACATTTGTAGTTCTAAACATATTTAGGGTGTTTTTACTCACTTTTGTCTCTCCCACGACCTTATTCCTCTCTCCTACAGCGTCCGTTACAGTTATTTGCAAATGGCAAATTATGCAAATTAGGCGATGACGTCATTTAGCGACTTCTAGCGACTTTTGGGACAGCCAATAGCTACTTTCCTTACTGAGGAGTTGGCAACACTGCTGAGGGCTTACACAAACTTCCCGTGTCTTAGTTACCCGTTACTGCTTACTCAGAGAAACACCCAAAAGAAAGTCTCGTTCCTCTGCGCTTCCTGGTTCTATCATTCTATTCTCGAGGTCGGACATCCGGGAACTTGGACTCCCATAATGCACTGCGCGCGCATAGCAACGCGGCGAAGGGTAAAACAAACCAGCGCCCGCCATTAAGCAACACGAAGCGAAAGACAAACGAGCGTTACAAAACATGCCGAAAAACTGTTGTATTGTTGGTTGTACCAACAACAGCGTAAAAAGGAGTGACCTATCCTTTTACATGATCCCTAGCGAGGCAACTGAGCCAGAAAGGAGAGAGAAATGGCTCCAGCTGGCTTGGAGATACTCAGTGGGAATCTTTAGATTTTGTCACTTTGCTCCTTGAACAGGAAAGAAGAACAACAACCCCGCATACCCAGATTACACTCCGTCCATTTTCCCGCAAGCAGTGCTGAAGGAATTGACTAAGAGTACCACACTTGATCGCTTCAAGAGAGCACAGAAAAGAAAAGGTAAGTTTGCTACCCACAGTACCCTATCGTTAACAGAAAAAAAACCATCAAACTGTAGTGTGATCAACATGCATCTAGTTTGCTCCTAGATCAATGACCAAAAATTATCTGAATTTGTTTGACACAACACTTGAAATTTAAAACTAACAAATTGCAGTCGATTTTGTTTATGCAGACATATATATAGTAGCAAATTGTGTTTATTGCTCTTATTTTACACTGCAGTAAAACCGTACCTGCAGATAATGAGCTGCATTTCCAATGCACAGTTAAGAATTAAAAGATTCCATATTGCAATGAGGTTGTGTACAACAATTGATACAAGCACCTTGTGAAATAGAATGTTGTCCCCCATATGAAATACATAAATAAAAAATACATGTTGATTTCTAATGACAAATTTGAAAAAGTAGTACTTGGGAGGTTAACTGCTACAAAAATGGTAATCTGTGTAAAAATACAGATTTTGCTAACAAATGTATTTTCCTTGAAAACAAAATTACCTCCTGTATGAAAAAGTCATTGCATCTACAAAGTAACTAGTCATGCAGATTTTTGTACATAATGCCTAGCCTGGAAATTCTTGGTAAGATGGTATTTATAGTACAAAACTAGTCTACTGGTCGCTGCTTTCTAGTCATAGTCGACTATTATGACTTATCGTCCCAATCCAACTCAATACTAAATATACTGCCGTTTAGTAACACCAGGAAGCCGAGTGAGTGAGTGGTTGGTGGTGGTCGGAGGGGCCGATGGCGCAGACTGGTCGCCTCGCTTCAGTCAGTCTACCCCAGGGCAGCTGTGGCTATAATAGTTGCTTACCACCACCAAGTATGGAGTGAATGAATAGTGCAATGTTAAGCGTCTTTGAGTGTCCAGAAAAGCACTACATAAAACTGATGCATTATTATTATTATTATAAATATGAGGCCATGACTTAAAATTTCTGTGATCATTTGCAAAATATATACCTTTTATCTATTTTTTTCAGCACCATCCACTACTCTAGTATCACGAAATCAAAGGAAGGTGAAGAAGCAACTGGAATTTGAGGAGACAAGTGTCCCAGAAGAGTTGCAACAAGAAGTGTCAACACCCTGCATGGAAATGCAAGACCTGCAGCAGACGGAATTAGGCATTGACAAAATCAGCAATGATTCGGTCTCCACCATCATAATACTAAATACACCTGAAACAAAAGAAAATGAAGAAAGGGAAATAATTTTAT